AAACAAGTTTTCTTAGCCTGAACGAGAAGTATATGTAGGAAGAGGAACGGTCACCCAACATGGGGTTCAGAGTTCTGGGGTAAAGGCATATTCTACGCAGCTTCTCGGAATCCACAACCAGCCGGCACCTTGCGACTTGGGAGAGGCAAGGCACTGCAAAATCAAGTCCCAATTTTAGACCTTCAAGAGAACCGATACTTAGCCTCAGTGGCGAGTCCCCCAAGCTACTTGGATGCCGAATAAACCGGATGTGCAATAGCCCCAGACGTCCATACTATCACATCAATGCAAGCTGAGTCTGAAGGAAGACAGTTTCGCTTGGCTGATCTTGGCTGTGTCAGCCTCGGGTTCGTTTGGGTTTAGGAGCGGTGTTGGGTAATGTGGGGAGCCACGGTGGTGCACAAAGCTGTTGTAGTCAATTGCGGCTTAGACTAAAGTTTTTGGCGTCCTGGCCATGACATGAACATTGCAGTGTTTTCCTTCGGTAACTGTTGAACCCCACAGCGTGCCCACATCCCACAGCTTAAACCGGAACCATTTATCCTGACCGACCTCTGGAGAAGGCGGTCTGCCACCGCGAAGAAGGTGTTTAGCAAGGCCCAGCCAACCTGCTTGCAAGCAGGGCCTAGGGCTTCGGGCTTGAAAAGTTATGCGAGGAGAGCTTGAACGGTTCAGGGTATGGGCTCGTCTCGGAGACCCATGTGTAAACCCGAAAACTTCCTCATCAGTAGGATCCTCAGCACGGTAACCAGAGAACCCTCCCTAAAGCGTCATTGAAGTCGGAAACTCCGCCACAACATCAAGGCGATGGGTTCCAAGGTCCTCTTGCTACCACGCTGGCCCTGGCGAAACCACAGTTCTGATTCTTGTCAAACCCTAAAGCCAGTCCTAGGTGCCAAGTTGGTGTGTAAAGACTTCAGAAAAGGCAGGCGTCTCGCTGGTTCGATCAGTCCCAATGCACCCGAAACCCCAAACGGACCGCTGATGATAAACCCCCAAGTATCTAAACCTCTTAAAGCACCCGCAGGCTCCTACCAGGAATAGCTATACCGCGTTGCCGCAAAGGCCGTGAAGAAGCAAGAGAATAACATCTTAACATCTCATGATACCACGAAGGACATGGCCCTTCTGGTACTGGTAGACCTGGGTTCAAGATATCAAGGGATGAGTTCGTTTAGCTCAGGGCTTGGAAAAGTCTTGCTCTACATTGCGCATGTTGGATGTTGACAAAAGTATGTTTGCTTTAGGTGCAGGCTGATTTTTGCAGGACCCCTCCTTACATCGGGCGGGTCCTTGCAAGACTTACACTGCAGCCAGCCATGGTTGAAACAGCAAAATATGCAAGACACTGTACTAAAGCTCAAAATCCGAAGTGAACTTTGAAACCCCCAAAATAACTCCAAAGCCACCGGAAGATACATCTAGGCTGGCGGACCCCAGTCAAGTGCTGCCGCGGCATTCTCGACGCATAAAGCCCACTACCTCCGAGCTTTGCAGGTGTTTGGAGCTTCTGGGTCTTTGGGATTTTGGGTTTTTTTGGGGTCTTGGGATTTTCGGTTTTGGGCGTTTGTGGTTTTGGGACTTTGTGGTTTAGGGGTTGGGGTGCGAGACTGGCAATCCGAAAGATTCAAAGGTTTGAATCAAGTTTTGGCTGGGGGATCCGGGACTGAACCCTGTTGGTGCGTAAGGTTTCGGGTGTGGTTCGCAATGGTAGCTGAAGCACTCAGTGGGATATACTGATATACTGGAACATGCTATACTATTTACTACTATAGAAACTGTATTTTAGAAGATGAGGGCTGGCTCTCTGCGGGAATCTCCCCGAGACTATCCAAGCCTCTCCAGCACAGTGAGCCAGTTATGGCTGCAATTGAAACCCTACAACCACGGCTACTGCACAAGTATAATTTCAAACGGAATCCCTGCATTAGAAACAGCGTGCGCAAGCACCGTGAAGGGCCCCGGCCGCAAAGCATGATAAAGATTGAGACGATCATGCCCATGTTCACCTGGCTGGGGCGCTGGACGAAGGATGGCCGGTACAGCTTAGATACATGACTTTGGTCTCTTCCGTTCCAGGTCTCTTCACACACTTACGAATGACATGGCAGTGATCTGCAAATCTCTGAGCCTCTGAGCACACCTTTATTTGCCATGGTCAACCCTAAACTTAAACTCGAAAGACCACTTTCTACACCGAAACAGCCACACTGCAATTTTCTGCAATCCCTCCTTGGCTCTGTAAATATGGAGACTGCGCAACTTCAGCGATGTGGCAGCCTCTGCTGTGCCCTAAACCCGAAGCAAAGAAACTTGTCGGCCAGCACCCCAGACGAACACGCAGATAGGACAATGAAACAGAACACAACAGAAGTAAGATGAGTTCGATCGATTCGAGCAGAGATACAGATAACACGAATTAACCTCAAAAGACTTGGTTAGCCTGATGCAAAGTTCAAAGAACAGAAGATGCACCACATCTGGGAAACTAAAATGACACCACATCAAAAGTGCACGCGTTTTTGTCTATTCGTGTATGTGTATGTATGCTTACATGTGTGCATCCATATCTGGAAGTTTCGTTCTACACGTCTGCGTATACACATGACCTGAGCAACGTGCTATGCAAACGCAGGACGGCTTCATTGACTGACTACTTGGCTGACCGTTCGGGATACTGCTGCAAACATTTCTGCAGTGAGCAGGCCGGACCCAACTCCTCCCAACCCCTTAAACCCCTGAAGCTGCCTGAACCATAACGATCCCACTTGCAAGCATCAAGTAAATCTGAGCGATCAAAACACACTTAAGTCACTCAAGCCCTCAAAAACCGGAAAAAACCTAAACACGCTGAGCCCCCGCAGCAGACACAAAACAAAATGCACAAAACAAACTCTGAAAATCCTCTCTGCCATACCCCACCTGCAGAGGCTGCGGGTAGAAGCTTTCCACTGCTAGGCCAGCCACCTAGGCCCGGCTTGCATCTTTCCGGCTTGAGGGCGTGTGGAGTTTAGGGTTGCCGGTTTCGGGCTTGTTAAGTTTTGGGATTAGGGTTTCTACTTATCTCCAAGCTGGAAAACCGAAACCGCCCTAACCGCCCTAAATCCAAAACTGATAAACATTGTCAAACCCCGAAGCTTCGAAAACCTGCTGCTGGCAAGCTCGTTTGGGTTTGGCCCTGTCTTTGCCTATGATGACGACATCACTTAGCATGACGATGACTGGAACGATAGGGAAGGAAGAACGGCTTGACACCGGGATCAACCCAGTCACAGCTACTCTAGCGGTAATCTGCCTGGCTGCGTGTCTCGCCTTCCCTGTGGAACGTCTTTGTCACCTTCGAGTCTTTCCAGCAGCGGCCTCCTGTTGCCCCTGCGGCCTGGAGAGGGAGCGCACGGCAGCGCCAGGAGCCTTTGGGGGCTTTGCCTCCTTGAGCCCTCTTAGCATCTGCCCAAGGCTCTGAGTTTCTAACGTGCTTCGGGGCTTATTTGCTGAGGAGCATACCCGAGGCCCCAATACAGGGACCTGAGAACTAGTTTAGGGGGTACGTGATAATACAACTCGATAAGGCTATCAAGAGGTACTTTAGGATTTTTACTAAACCCTCGTAAACCCCAACTTAGTAAAACCCTCATGTTGCATTCCTGAAACTGACAGGGACCGACTTTGCATGAGCTAGCTGACTACACTGAGACTTTGCTGCACAACCTCAGCCTGACATCCTATGACTTGACAGCCAAAACCCACAATCCGAACACGACTCGGGGAGTACAGTCCAAGATCAGGTTCGCATGTGACGGTATCTAGGGATTCAACGGCTTACGGGGGGGGCTCACACTCGTTAGATTCGAGGTGCTCGAGGTTTGGAGGTTTCGATTTGGGGCTTATGGGCTGAGGGGAAGGCATCGACCAAGGGCACCTGTGCTGGCATAGACACGCTCGAGTCTTCAACGATAGAAAGCGTTGAAGCTACGAAATTGGCATTTGAGCAAAATCCTATGGACAGCGCATGTCGCAGAGTTCCTTCATACGCTCTGCGACAGCTTAAACGAGAGCATGTCCCAGGGACTCCAAAATCTCGTGACCCAGGGATGGTTCCTAAAAGCTGCAAGAAGGGTCGTTATTCGATTAAGGACATGGTTCCTAAGTTATGGTAGTCAACCTCACAAAAAGGAACCCCCGATCAAGGGATGTTTGGAGTCTCTGTCTCCGGATAGGTCAACTTCTTCGCTCTTCATGAGGAAACCAAGGAGAGACGTTGCGCCGGCTTCGGGCTTGCAAAAAAGATATGTAGTTCTTCGCCTGTTGAAGGAGCGACGTGCACAAAACCCACTCCAAACCCCAAGCTATGCCAGCTATGCTAGGCTGCGAGACGAAAGCTCTAGTGCTCTCAAACAGACTTTAGAAAGACTGCGCCTTGGCCCTAAACTTCTAAAAAACCTACGGTCAAAGGCCCTAAGCCCTCAGACAAGTGAGGACCTCCCTATCCGGAGAGCGACGGCATGCATTGCCTGATACTTCAGGCAACTTCCAGGGGCGCCTCAACGTAGACCAGGTCATCCGGCTCCTTGAAAACGTTTCGAGCGGAAGGTTGGTGGCTCAGGGAGTGAGGCGAAGATTAGGGCTCGGGGTTTAAGCTGTGGGTGGGGGGGGGCTTCAGGAGTGTAGGGCTTGCTCTGCGATGCAAGTGTCTCGTTTTGGGGCCTCGGCTTTCGGATGTTGGGCTCAGGGCATGTCAACTGTAATGATGCTTACATCTAAACCTCACCATCATCAGCAGCAATATCATCTTCATGGATGCCATCATCATCAGCAGCATCATCATCCCGGTGATACTTACGGTTACACTCTTTTGCGGGGGCGTTGAAAACTAAGAAATCCGATAGCCCAAAAACAAGTGCGACAGGCCTAAATGATCTGTCACGGAGCAGGTGTGAAAGAACATGGTACTATGATTGATCACATACCACGTTGCCAGGGCTACCGCCGTTTCGAAGTGTCTAAGGGGTTGGGGGTTTGGGGTGTCGAAGCTTCTTCAGTCCGTACCTCCCCAAGTAAACCCAACCCCGGACCCAGCGAAGAAGCCAAGCCTCAACACCTGGCCATGACGCAGGTTCAAAAGAAACCGAAGACTCCTCCCTTGGTGCTCTTCGAGCCCAGGCCTGCAGAGCTCGATGCTGCCGGCGAAGGTGGAGAAGGCCAGCGACGAGCGAGCCCGCCGCAAGGGTCGCAGCCACAAAGAGGAACGGAGATGGAGTCGGAACGGCTGCCAGCTCGGCGGGTGCCGTGGCTTGCTCCTCTCTGGCTCGCTCTCTCTCCCTCTTGTCTCTCCTCTTCTTCTATCGTAAGGGGCGAACTAGGCAAGGCACTTGGTCTGCCTGTGAGAGGGGGAAAGCTCTCTCTCTCTCACTCTCTCTCTCTCTCTCTTAAAGGCTCCTCCTTCTTCTCCTTCTCTTCCCTCTCCTTCTCCGCCTGCTCCTCCTTCTGCTCCTGCTGCCGCTCTTGGCGCTCCTGCTGTGCTTCGGCCTCCAGCTCCTGACGCAGGTGCTCCTGCTCTGCCGCCAACTCCTTGCGCAGGCTCTCGCGCTCTGAGGCGAGCTCGTCATGGAGCCTTTGCTTCTCTGCGTCCAGCTCTGCGGTCTCCTGCACCTCTGGCCCTTGGTCGCTGACGAAGAGCGCAGGGCTCGAACCTTTGCCCTCTTTCGCTGCGGCGGCTTTGGCGGCGGCCCTGGCGGCAGCCTGCTTTGCTTCGGCCGCAAGCTCCTTCCGCAGCCTTGCATGCTCCGACGCGAGCTCTGCATGGAGGCTGGCCCTCTCGGACGAGAGCTCCTCCTGCAAGTGCTGCTTCTCACGCTGGCGCTCGAGCTGCTCGCGCTGGCGCTCAGACATCTCCTGCGGCTCTGGCTCTGCCTTCTCCTTCTCTGACGCCTCAGAACCCTTGTGCTCAGACCCTGAGCCCTTGTGCTCAGAATCAGAGTGACTGTTCTTGGGGGCACTGGAGCTGGAGGCATCCGCCAACAAAAGTGCAGGGTTTCCCTGAGCGCCCGGGCGACCACTGTTCCCAGAGTGCATGTACTTCGTGTAGCCCTTCATGTACTGCTGGTAGTCTCGGCCCTGCGAGCGCATGCTGTCTGCGTATTACTTGTAACCACTTCCCGATGGCAGGTCGTGGCGAGCGGGTCTTTTGTGGGTTCAAGCTCACAGCTGGTTGGAAGCCGGGCCGGGGACCCTCAAATTTGCCGTACTTTTTCTCTCGAGATTGGCAATCCCAGCTCACAACCCAGAAACAGAAAGACAAATGCAGGGACACACCAATGATGAATGTTCACCCAAAGCGGGACGATGTGGTTGGGGGCTCGAGGCCTCAGATTTAGCCAAGCAGCCAGTCTTACGTGGTTGTTGATCTATCCGTGACAATCTTGTTTCAACAGATGCCTGGTTTGTGGCAGCAAACAGCTTAGGCTTACGAGTAAGGAAACTTCCAAGACTTTGCCTTGTGGGTCTCTGGTTGGCGTCTTTAGTTTCTGAATCGCAGTTTTCCGCAGATGCCAGGAGAAGTAGAAGTTGCAAGCCTTACACTGAGCTATGGGGCATGGTTTCACTTGTCGATGTTACCAGGTAGTTATCGGTCGAGGGCCTGAAGCATGACCATCCTTATGTCTTCGCGACCGCTTGATGCAAAACTTGCGTGACTGCCCCTAGAAACCACTTAGGGTGAGCTCAATATTCCGGAGAAGAGTTAACAGACTAGCAGACAAAGCTAAGCGACCTGCCATCGTTGCAAGTAAACCGTTATCAGGTGTACTTAAGTTTTTCAACTTTCCATTTGGGACGATCGCGCCTGGGAGCCCTGCCCCTGCATGTACTTGCTGTAGTCACCACCGTAGGACTGCAGATACTGCTTGTAGTCTCCTGCCTGCAAGAGTCCATGCACCAGCAAAGCTGACATCTTCTGCATGGGGATAGGCACATGAGAATGCTAGGAGAAGTAGAATCTGCAAGCCTTAAACAAGCTGTGGGGCATGGTTTCACTTGTCGATGTTACCAGGTAGTTATTGGTCGAGGGCCTGAAGCATGACCATCCTTATGTATTCGCGACCGCTTGATGCAAAACTTGCGTGCCTGCCCCTAGAAACCACTTAGTGTCTTAGTGTTGCGAGCCCTCAATATTCCGGAGAAGAGTTAACAGACTAGCAGACAAAGCTAAGCGACCTGCCATCGTTGCAAGTAAACCGTTATCAGGCGTACTTAAGTTTTTCAACTTTCCATTTGGGACGATCGCGCCTGGGAGCCCTGCCCCTGCATGTACTTGCTGTAGTCACCACCGTAGGACTGCAGATACTGCTTGTAGTCTCCTGCCTGCAAGAGTCCATGCACCAGCAAAGCTGACATCTTCTGCATGGGGATAGGCACATGAGAATGCTAGGAGAAGTAGAATCTGCAAGCCTTAAACAAGCTGTGGGGCATGGTTTCACTTGTCGATGTTACCAGGTAGTTGTTGGTCGAGGGCCTGAAGCATGACCATCCTTATGTATTCGCGACCGCTTGATGCAAAACTTGCGTGCCTGCCCCTAGAAACCACTTAGTGTCTTAGTGTTGCGAGCCCTCAATATTCCGGAGAAGAGTTAACAGACTAGCAGACAAAGCTAAGCGACCTGCCATCGTTGCAAGTAAACCGTTATCAGGCGTACTTAAGTTTTTCAACTTTCCATTTGGGACGATCGCGCCTGGGAGCCCTGCCCCTGCATGTACTTGCTGTAGTCACCACCGTAGGACTGCAGATACTGCTTGTAGTCTCCTGCCTGCAAGAGTCCATGCACCAGCAAAGCTGACATCTTCTGCATGGGGATAGGCACATGAGAATGCTAGGAGAAGTAGAATCTGCAAGCCTTAAACAAGCTGTGGGGCATGGTTTCACTTGTCGATGTTACCAGGTAGTTATTGGTCGAGGGCCGGAAGCATGACCATCCTTATGTCTTCGCGACCGCTTGATGCAAAACTTGCGTGACTGCCCCTAGAAACCACTTAGTGTCTTAGTTTTGCGAGCCCTCAATATTCCGGAGAAGAGTTAACAGACTAGCAGACAAAGCTAAGCGACCTGCCATCGTTGCAAGTAAACCGTCATCAGGTGTACTTACAGTTTTTCAACTTTCCATTTGGGACGATCGCGCCTGGGAGCCCTGCCCCTGCATGTACTTGCTGTAGTCACCACCGTAGGACTGCAGATACTGCTTGTAGTCTCCGGCCTGCAAGAGTCCGTGTACCAACGTTGACATTTTCTTTACGGGCATGGGTACATGACGATGTCGGGAGACGGGTATCAAGACGGGTATCAACTCTGCGACTTGCGCAACTTCCTTTGCACTCGTTTTGCAGACGATTCCATTCACGAGTTCTGGCGTAGCCTGTGCTTCTTAAACCAAAACACTCTTCGGTCTGCATCTACAGATTGGGGACCATTCCAATCACGCGCTCTCAGTGCTGATCCTCACGACACGACGCAGCAACAGTCTGGGCGCTGTCGACTTGTTTGGGGCCTGGAGGGTCCAATTCCGGCTAGAACTTGCAAGCCTTACACAAGCTGCGGGACATGGCTTCAACTGTCGATGTTAAAAGGTAGCTGTTGGTCATGTCACCCCTGTGTAGTCTAAATAAACGGTGCTGACACATGCTGACACAGCTTAAATGGAGGCTAAGACCGTTTAGTAGCATGAGATTTCACCTCTAGGCTGCTGCTGCTGCTGCAGGCTTCATCGAACGACCTAGCATCAGCATGCAAGATGTTGAAAACACGACTCTACTTTGTATGCAGATCAACGGCACAGACAATGCATACATGCAGATAACAAACGCTTTGATCTGCATGTGGTGTGTGTGTGTGTGTCTTGGTGTGGGGTGTGTGCATGCGTATGGTGTGGAAGTATGTACGTATGCGCGGGTCAGCCGTTTTCAAGCTTTACAGTGCATGGTGCGACCTGGCCTGAGAAGAGCCCTGCCCTTGCATGTACTTGCTGTAGTCGCCGCTCTGGGAGCCCTGGTTCAGGTACTGCTGGTAGCCGCCTTGCTCATGCTGGGACGGGTGTGCCTCATCGCTCTTCGACGCAGAGTCCTTCTTGGAGTGCGCATCATCGGCTGCAGCGAAGCTTACCGCCTCTGCCTGCTCTGCAGACTTCTTCGACTCTGCCGAGGATGGCATGTACTTGCTGGCATAGTCGCCTGCGTATTGTGACATGAACTTCTCGTAGCCACCAGAGGCCCCCGAGCCGTACTGAGACATGTACTTCTTGTAGTACTTTTCGTAGTCCCCACTCCCACCGTTGCCACCACCGCCGTGCATGTATTTCTCGTAATCACCAGCGTATTGGCTCACATATTTCTGGTAGTCCCCCTGCGCTGCAGACAGGACCGGAACGAAGAGCCCCAAGAGCGAAAGCAGAGCCATGGCTGGCGTCAAGAGATGGGAGGACGAGTGAGAGCTTCTGCGCTACCAGCTTCGGCCAAAATGGCTCCAAGGCATCGAACAGTGTCCCAACGTCTCAAGACCGACTACAAAGCTTTTTGGGATGTTACCACTTGAGTTCGACGTAAGATAGTAGGACAGCCCCATTCAGTCAGAGTTGGCTTTGGAGTTCACCGAAGCTTCATGACCATAACACCGTGGCAGGGCTACACCTGGGAGAACCGCAATCCGGCAATTCCTTCCCAACCTCGGTTACAACAGTTGCGACTTGCAGAACTGCTCAATCCCCTGATCCCGTACCCAGTGACTCCATCTTATCTGCCTTGCGCAACAGCACTAAACACCAAACCCGGAAACGCTGAACCTAAAGCCACCGAAACCATAGCCCCAAAGCCTAAACCTTGAAGCCCCTGCCCCCGAGCAACAAAACCGCCAAGACTTGCCAAACAACAATCCTTCGTCCTCGAAGATCTTATCAAGCTCTTGGCTGCTGGAGCGTCTTTTTTAGATTCTGGGGTTTCGCGGGTTTCCACATCTGCGAGGCATCAGAAGCCTTCGTACACCACCCCAACTATCGCGACGAAAGTTCTCTGATACCTACACCCATCATTCCGCAAGAGAAATATATAACCACCCAGGAAGGACCGAAGAATGATGGCACTGGTAAAAAACAATTGAGCCGACAACATCTTGATGTGGTGGCCTTCAGTGTTGCGCACGAACGCGGACCTTCTCTGGAATCACTCTAGGTTTGGCCAGGTTAAGATGGAGCCTGGTGCGAGACCAGCCCTGCACCTCTTGAACCCTAAGATAGCCTTTAAAAATAGCATGAATCATGGTCTTCTTGTCGAGGTGGGATCTAGGCGACACACTGGCGAGAGGCAGCGCAGGACGACCAATAAGGACATCGGCGCATTCTTCAAGGCCAACCTGGCTTTCATGTTGGGGTTTGCTGCTGTGGTTCATAATGGCTAGCGGCTAGCGGCTAGCGGCTAGCATGATTCATTAATTAAATGAAACACGGGCGGTGCCGGTGCTGCTGCTGATGATGCTGACGAGATGGTTCAGATCGTGCAGCCGCTCGCAAATTACGCGGTGCTGAAATATCTCAGCTTTCTTGCTGCATTAGCCCTCCAGAATGCTGCAGGTTTGGGGCCCTAGGATCGGACGTGTAGAACTGCCGGAGAGGTTAGGCTTGGCTGCTTCGGGGTTTGCGGTTTGTTCTGCATAGAAACAACTTTGCCAAGGACGTGAATTTGCAAACGCTAAACCTATAATATACTCTAGGAGCCTTGATTATTAGAATAGGGTTTGAGGGCCCATTATACTATATTTATAATAAGGAACCACCAAACTAGTATAGGTAATTATTTAGGCCCCTATATTCAGCCCCAAGTCTGAGGCCCTAAGCCGGACCCCCTTCAAGAACTACGCGCTCGACTTCGCATTCGAAGATGGCCAACAGCTCTCTTGCTCAGCCAAAGCCTTGACAGCATGTTACAGCTAGAGTATGTATTTTGTAGTCCACCATGCTATGTCGAATTGTCGCATAAGTTTTGGCATAGCATGTTCTTAGACACTATTCCACAACGCACCTTTCGGGACCTTTGGCCACATTGGTTCCTTTGCCTTGCGTGCTTAAAGTCTACATCATGCGGTATCGAGGCTCATGAAGTGCCCCAAACCCCGAACACTGAAGCCACATATCCTCAACTCTTAGCCCTGAAACCGAAAGCATCCCTCATGTCGCAGCAGCCCCGACCAGTCTTCCAAGCGGGATCCGTATCTCGCTGATGATTTCCGAACGTTGCATGCTGCAAGGGTTCTGTACAGATTCTACTGGACAAGGGCTAAATACTTTAGGTCTGTCATAGTACGCTTGTATTGGGACTATAAGGGGACACTATTACAAATCGTGGCCAAAGCTTCGAAGGCTCTGACGTACGGATGCAGGGTTTGGAGTGAAAGGCTGAGGGGTGAGTTTTGCATCACGTCCGTGGACCCTAAACTCCAAAATACCCTTACGCCGGCACATGTCGACTCCGACATTTGGGAGACGTGGCCAAGACACATCGAAGTCAGCAACATGCCGCTGAAGCACCTCAGGTTCAGTGCATCCTTGTCAGTCTGGATTCCTGGCAGCGTGGCCAAGCCAATCTTGTGTGCCTGCTACGACTCTGACCTTCTGCCGGTGCTGATGGTGATAATTCTTCGCGTCGCCTCCCTGCATCTATTCAGCCATTCATCTTCATCTCCCACTCACATGCATGCACACAAACACACACTCTGTACCTTTCTCTCTCTCCCGCTCTATCCGTCGCACGTAGAAGTAAGCAGCACAGAAAAATGCGCGTGCCATCATCCTTAACCCACCGAAAACTAAAGTCCTGAACCGCACAAGCGTCAATACCTATCGCTCTAGGTCCTGCACCCTTCAAAACTAAAAGCTTGGGTTTAAGCTTCATATGGAGAAGGCCGGCCACAGGAGGGCAAGTGTGCGAAAAGCGGAACCAGTTCATCGACTCCAACAACTTGCTACTGGTACGTAGTAGTAGTATCGCATAACATCTTATGGTAAAGAACAGCTCGAAAGGCGAAGGAAGCATCCAATTCTTCCTGGGCCCCTGCAGGACGCCAGCCCAAAAAGCCATGGCCCTGAATCGAAAGAGCTAGGGTCCGAACGGGATCACGAGAGACCACCTGGCGACATCGCGGAAGGAGCCGATGTGGATGGACCTCGGAGATCGAGACTTCTACGTTCATTGTTCGCAGATCAAGGAATTCATGGGGCTTTGGGGCTCAAGGACCAAGGCTCGAGGATCAAAGGTTTAGCTAGTTCGGAGTGCTGGAGTGGGCTGCTCTTGGATGCCTTGCCCTAAACTCGACGACTTCTTCCCTCCACAGCCAACCTGTCAAGAAACTCAATCTCTTCAAACCCTACCACCCATAAACATATCCGAGACCCTGAACCCGATGCATCCGAGACTCAGCATCCCTCAGCCTAACCAAACAGATGCCCCTAAGCCCCAGGCACCCTTGTGCGACAAAGTGACAAACCCTTTTTTGAACGAGGTCTCTCTGTGCGACAAACCCTAGGCCCGAAACCCTAAAGCCCCAAAAATTGAAAAACGCCCTGATGCATCCCCCTTCTGATGATCGTAGCGCGCCCCTTACAATCCGACGGCAATACCGCCAACAACAAAAAACAAAAACAAAACCACTTGAAACCTCTACATTAAGCCCGTTCAAACCTCGGGAGACCTGTTGAAAACCTTCAAGCCCCTGAAAAAATAACAAAGAAAACTAAAACCCAATCCGAGGCCAGGGGCTTCTGGGCGAAGCAGAGCAGAAACGCGGAGCAAAAGGCCATCTGCAGCGCCACCAAACAGCACCTCTTGCGGCTAAGGGCTCCAGGGCTTGCGGGCTCGGGTGCTTTTGGCTTTAAGGCTTCACGGATGCAGGACTGGGGGTTTTATGGTTTGGGGCTTGGTGCTTTCATTCAAGGTTTAAGGCTTCGAGGGTTTGCCTGCAGTTGAAGGCTTTATGGTTTAAGGCCGGGGGGTCAGGCCTTGCTCCTGTAAGGGTCGCCGCTACCTTGGGGCCTTCGAGTTCAGGGATGTTCAGGGTTAAGGGCTTGGGCCTCCAGGTCAGGAATGAGGTTTAAGGCAACCCAAAACAACGAAGCCGGATGCATGACATTAGTCCCCAAAACAGAAACGAACACCTTAACTCCAATCCTATCCCCAAACCCAAGCCCCTCAAGCGCCATAAAGCCTAAAGCCATGAGGCGCAAAGACCGAGGCACTCTGCAGGAAACCGTGTCACCGCCATTTTGTTGAAGACCTGAAAGCATCACGGGTTTAGGGCGCTGGAAGATTACTCTATCTGAGTACCTTTATTGATTGCTAGTCGCGATGCTAGTACTAATTTGGTCACTTTTCTTGCTGCCGCTATGCTTACTCTTAGTATACGGCGATCCTTGAACATCGGCCTAAAATCCGAAAAACTCAACGAGAAAGGCGTTTCAAGAACAAGCAAGCGGCCATCATTCCCACGGAGCAAATGCACCTGCGGCGACGGGTCGGGATGCTGGTGAGGGCTGGGGATCGGATCTGCTACTGTCGAGACCCCTTATGCCCGCAGTCTTGCAGTAGATATTCTAATCGGGGGCTGGCGTACAGCACATGCGCCTAATGAAGAGATTCTCGCCTCAACACTTGCACACATTGGACACTTAACTGAACCCATGGACGAACAGCCAGGCTCTTCTATAACACTTGATTGATATAGTTGTTTATCTCCTGGAAGCGAGAATGCATCGGTACCATCGTCACAAAACACGCAACAGTGCGCGCAGCCCTTATTTCAACCCCAATCGAGAAGCCTTAGTGAGGACAAGAAAGCTTGAATGGAATATGGTACCGTTACTATGAAGGGAGTGTAAGAAGAGATTGGGCACTTTCTGACTAGCTCCTTCGACCCTTCAGTAGCTTAGGCCACTCAGCCGATGACGAGGGAGGCAAGGCTTGGAGGACCACGATCTAGGAAGATGCTTGCAACATGCCAAAATACACGATATAGCCTAGGGCCTTGACTGCCCTCCCTTTTTGCTTCAAGCCTGCCCTCCCTAAAGCCCAAAACCCATAAACCCAAAGCTTTTGAAACCGGTACCCCAAAGACCCCCCAACCAATACCCGAACCCTACAGTGAAAGCCCCAGGGACCCACATGGCTGGGGACGGCGCCAGCTTGAGACGCTCAGCACGATCTGCGAGGACTGGACCTTGGGAGTCTGAGAAACTACACCCAAAAAGCAAATCCTCTGAATCCGAAGGATGAAGGTTTGGGGATAAAGGTTTTTTGAATCGGAAGTCGTTGAGAATTGAGGCTCCATGTTGTTCCAAATGCCGACTCCAAAATGAAGCCTAAAACTGCCAGCTTAAACAAAGAGCGAAACTATCCCGAAACGTAAACCGTAAACCCACCTAACCCCAAATCCAAACAGGCTGGACCGTCTTACATTCAATGAGGCGGGTCCAACGAAGGCGGTACTTGAAACTCTTACCTTTTACACGATGTACGGACCAAGTACATCCCTCGACGAAGCACCGTAGATGGTGCATCCGTTAAGGCACCATATCCTCCATAGCGCATCTGAACCCTCAAGCCTGCAGCCTTAAATCCTAGATGGGACCTCTTAAACCCTTATGTGTGCTGTCAGCTTTTACTCCTGGGGCTGCTGCAGCCACGGGATCATCGCCACGAGCCTCGAGTCGGTCCCGTTTCGGGATCGGGAATTCGATCTTACTGAACTTTGCGGTAGGTTCAGGGCTTGCATAAGGTTTTTTGACACTCACACTCGGAGCCTGGCAAGGTCTGCATAAGGTTTAGGGTTCTGGTTCGGCAAAGAGTGTTCTGCGAAGCGGGTGCGCTTCACTCGCCCCGCCCCAACCCACCCCCGGAAAGCCTGAGAAGGCCCTCTCAATGCAAAATTCGCCGTTTCTGTGCTTACGAACCTGATCGAGCTCCCTGCGGTGTCCCCAGGCAGATTTCACGACCCACTTGGCAGATGGTTTAGGGATTCTATGTTGCTGGACTTTGGGGTATTGGATATCGGGTTGTGGGGGTTTGCGGTTTCTGCCGCCTGCTACCTGACATCCGCAAAACCCGTAAAGCCGGATGAGTCCTACACCCTCGCACCCGAAACCCCACACTCAGATGTCTCAAGTCCTTCGAAAAACTCAGAAACCCCAAACCTCGAGTCCACAACCGGCAAGTTAAGCCTTAACAGACGCAGACCCCAAATCCCTGCAACGCAGTGAAGCTTTCACCCTGAACGCCAAAGCCGTAAAACCCTCAACCCAGAGGCCCTATAAAGGTCTCTCAAAACGCTTCAGCGCTGATACTCGTAAAACTGCTCGAGTCCGAGGAAAAGGCTTTCGGAGTGGCGCTCATCTTCGTTAGCGGGGCCGCCTGGGTTGACATGCCCACGAGATTTTAGGGTTTGAGAGCTGTTGTAATAGTTAAGGTGTAAGTAGGCTGCAAGGATTTGAAACGAAGCTACGACATGAACTCCGCGAGTTACGCCAGACTGCTCCAGGCAGTCGGAGCATCCAGGCAAACGCGGATCGGGATAGGTTACACCGTCTCTCTGCAACGAGCTGTCTTTAAACCCCCAGCCCGGCACCCGAAATCGCTAATTACTCATCAAAGATCGGCTTTGGCGTGCAAGAACTGAGTTTAGGGCCTCTTCAAGGCTTTGCAACTTTCAATGCTTCCGTGTAGGGCTTCGGAAATTTCAGGGCAAAGCCGACGTCTCGAAATCGCTTTCGGAGTCGAGGGGCAGGCGCTGTGGAAGCGGAAACGCCAGCGGAAGTTGAAGGCCAAAGGAGGCTTCTCACAGAGACTCCCACGCGAGGTTCTCAGAGCTCTAGGCTTGAGGGTGCAGGTCTCATGGGGGCCGAGACTTTCAAGCCTCCCAAGTAGGGAGGGAGGGGGGGGGGGTCTTGCCGCTGCGTACTATTGCACTGCAAAGCATTACTGCATTAGGCTTTACTTCACAAGTCTTTGATATACTACAGATTTGAAACATCCATCCTTCCCTTTGGGAAAGTGATGGCCTTCCACTGGCCTTGAGCCACGCAGCCGCGGGCTCAACGTTGGCAAACACAGCTCCTTCGCGCGAGCCCTGACCCGGGTTGTGCTGGGAAGCTCAGATCCGCCGACACTCAAGGAAGCTCAAGACTTGCAGCCCTTCCCTTTGGGGGACACTAAAAACCTTTAACCAGGAGCCCTCAACCCCTGAAGAGCCCAAATTCAAACCATGTCAACCTAAACGGGCACCACGACCCCCTCACAGCATCCCAAGAATCCTCGCCCCTCATTGAAGACTAAGCTCTTAAGTCAGGTTACGATTCCAATCTAATCTAAAGCATAGCATGAGTCTTACTATGAACATCTATTGCGGGAACTGAATTCAGGCCCTGCGCAGCAAAACAAGGAACCTAAACCATCGGCACTGATTTAGAATGGTTTAAAACTTGTCCGGCAAAATCAATGCTATCCCTGCGGGCTGCGAGCCTTATCCGCAACTGAACCCTAAACCCAAGCCTCGACTTGGGGGCTTAGGGTTTGGGGCTCAGGAACCCCCGACACTCGAAAGCCCCCCCCAAACCCTGAAGTTCCTAAAGCCAAGCCCAAAGACGCGCTGAAGCCCGGGATGCGCTGACGGCGGCACCTCTGCATCTTTGCACCTAAGCACATGGGCGAGGGGTAAGGGAAGGCTTCAAAGTCCAGGAACTAGGGCCACCAGGGGTTTAGGGCTTAAGTTAAACTCTCGGTAGAGTCGGTAGAGCCCCGACGAAAGCCTCAGAATGGGTCTTCACAGGCGACGCTTGGCTTGGTGCCTAAAACTCATGAGGTGTGGCAGGTCTGACTGTTTAGGATGGATCTGCAAGAGTTTTCAAGTTGTTACGGATCTCGGAGAGCCTTTTCTCTGGCGTGTTGGCTAGCTTTTTCAGCACGCTTCGGCCAGCGGTTGGGCGTCAAGCGAGCTGCAGGCACTGGTAGTGGGACGCGGTTGGCATAGCTTCAGCTTGATGACTCGGCTTTGTCTGGTGCTTGTCTGTGGCTGCGGTCTTCCGAGTTAGCTTTGGGATATCGAAATGAGCTTCTGAATATCTGAGCCGGAGCTGAGCTTCTGAGGTTTTACGCTTGCAAGCTCATGGGCCGAGCAACTAGTTTTGAAAGACGGGCTCTTCGTGCACGCAAGCATCCCCCTACCACTCCTGCTGGTCCAGAGACGTTCTGTCTATATTCGAGCTGTTGATGGCGTGAGGGGGCAATCCGTCGGCTTCTCCAAAGCTTGTGCCGAGCATTTGCGGAGCGGGCGATCGCTCCGGCCGAAAACGCCGCCGGCATCGCCCCAGGAGCCAACGTCGTCTCAACAGCAGCAGGATACCTGCGAGCTCCAGAATCCCCCACTACTCCTGCCAGCGACCCCTATGAAATTTCGACTCACGAAACCAGGTAAACGAAAAGGCGCCTAGCACCAAGAAACAGGAAACCGGCTAACCCCCAAAGCTGAAAGGTTTCTCCAGGTGCAACACGCGAGCAGCGCCAGGAGAAGACACGCAAAGAGCAGCAGGTCCCGTGGGGAGGGCTCGAAGGGACAGCCGGAGGAACCTGAGTCTGTAGGAATGCATTTGTTCTGAATGTTTCTGATTCCAGCAGTTGCGCTTCATGGTGAACAGCTCAATAGAAGCTGTTTGTATGTTATGTTGTTTGTGTATCTTATCAGCAGGAAAGGCCCGAACCGCCTTTCTTACAAGCCACACAAGCCCACATCACCTTCTAGTCCTTCCGTCAACGTCAAACCTTGAGCCCGAAGCCCCTAAATGACGGCAGCGTTACCCCCTAGATAAGGCATCCTGAATTGCCAGCCAAACTCAGAAACCGTAGGGCTTCGGGCTTGGTCTACTTTGGCAGGATGTCATCCTACTGAGCATCCAAAGACCCTCAAGCCTCAAAACACCAAACCCACTCAACCCAAATACGAGAGCCTTTAAAGTTAGCACCAGGTTTGGGTGTAGAGTATGAAACGAGACAGAAGCACCAGCATTTTGATTGTATCATACTGAAATCAACTTGTAGTTATTCCGGCAAACCCCTAAACTCTATACCCCCACCTCTTGAATCCTACATCCTTCGCTCTGAACCTCTCCACCTACACCTCCCAGACTCTATACTGTCCATACTCTAAACCCTCCAGTCTAAGCCTCAAGATCCTGAGCTCCGAACTTCGAAGCCCAACAGTCGCACTATGGTCTGGAGTGGTTCCCTACTATAACCTATTCTATTAAAGAAGCCCATAAAAGCAATCTTACAACATGTTCAGGGCCCCTAAAAACCCTGTGGCCCCTTTCAGACACCGATAGGAATCTTACATCAAACAAGGGGCAGTTCGGATCAAAGCAGTCGTCAATCAGAACGCCGCCCGCGAGATCGGGCCCTTCAAGGCAGGATTTGAGACTTCAGGGCCTACGATAGGGGCCTTAATGGTTGAATGAATGGGTTTCCTGACTTTGACAAGTGGACTGCAAGGGCGTTAGGATTTTAGGGTTTCGACTCACAAACTCGCACAAGGCAGGCATGGCTTCAGGCACTAAGTTCGCTGAGCTTGCTACTTTAACACCAAGGGACAAAGCGTGGCAAGCAACACCAAGACCCAGCAGTATCCAGCCAAACAAGTAATGAAGGAGCAAGTACATTCTGACGGTCCCATGGTGCTTGAAGGTAGAGGCTCATGTGGTCTCTCCAGGAAGTTAGGGTTTAGGGTGCAGCTGCAGAGTTCTGAAACGACGACTCATAGGGTGAAGCTCAAGATTTCGGGTTATGGACTGGGCCGGGGGATTTGGGATTAAGGCTTGCGGGGTTGCGAAGATGCATCTCTTGCAGTCCAGTTTAGGCTGACGGGAGGGGTGGGACTAGGGGCTCGCTGCCTCCCAAAGACTACATGGGGCTTGAGGCTGAGAAACCCTCCGCTGCAATCCGCACAGCGTCTGAGACAGCAGAGCTTCGGGGCTCAAACTCGACCTCGGAGTCAAAAACTCCGAACGGCGGCCGAGATGCTGGCAACTTGGCACACTTCTTGGATTCTCGGCATGTGTTCGTTGCGTCTGCGAAGGGGTCAAGGCGGAGCTGGTTTCTCAAACCCAAACGCTACAGACATTTCTGAACCAATGAATTGGATTTAATGGCCCGCACAACTAACAAGATCAAGACGTTATGTTGGCAGAGCCAACCCAAACCCGAAGACCGCTACCAAAGCAAAACCAGTGTCACCCAAACTACGGCATTCCGTACAAGCACACCCCTTCACCCCGTTCTCCGCAGCCGCTGCACTGAGCCCTCGGATCCTAGCGCAAGCCAACCTCCAAGGCCCAGATCCGGGCCTGGGGACGTTTCCTGCAGCCAGGAGCGGGCGAGCTGCTCGAGGCTCCTTCCAAGGGATTCTTTGGGATATTCCCTTTTTGTGAACTTTTTCGGGGCCTGCTAGGGGCTTCCTTAGGGATTTTGAGCGTTCTTATGGTTTCGGGGTGGTGAGTCTGGGGTAGTAGCTTAAAGGGTTGTCGGGCCCGCGGGCCTACCACGGGACCTGACTCAGGCAGCGTATGTGGGCGCTTGCACTCGGGATCACCCGAACCCCAAACTGAGAAATCAGAGCTGCCCTTCAAAACTACAAAGAAAGTTCCCAAAACCCTGAAACCTCTGTTAGCGCAACCCGAAACTCAGCAGTAAGTTTTGATTATGCTGAGCCTGTACTCACCAGTCTTGTTCTTGTCAATGTGCAAAACCTGATTAGTCTTGTCATCAGATAATCTGACAGAGCAATAACACACAAAACACGACATCACAATTATTGCTGCCATTATAAGTTCTAAGAACAAGACCGGAAACCCCCTGCACCGAATATGCCACCGCTAAAGCCGTTTTGTTGAAGCAGGACTCTACCGCTATGCCTACCCCTCCAACCCTGAGCTCATGTCTGGATGGGTAGGCCATCGAAGACAGCAGTCGCATGCCGCATGCAGATACCAGGTTGTTGAAACCCCAAATGCCGCTCCAGCTCTGGAAGCCAGGGCCCCGCCGCTGGACCCGCACTCGCCAGAAGAGTTCGCTCTCGGCGAAGCAGTGCTGCCTCGGCTCAAGCTCGGCGGGCTCGGGCTCGGGCTGCCCAGTTGGGGGTCTATTTGCGTTTCGGCGCTCAATTTGATCAGTTTTTGTGACACTCACACTCGGACAAGCCTGGCGAGGTCAGCAGCAGTACTGGTTCGAGGACACGTTAACTAGCTCACCGGATCGGTGTCATCCTGCGAGCCTCGCTGTCAAGCACATTGAAGTCCAAAGCCACCAACAACCATCACCCATAAACAAATTGCTTCGAGCTGTTGAATGTTTTTTGGTGGTTCCTCAAAGAAGGTACCCTTCAAGGCGGGTCTGGTCTGTTTCCTGCCTTGCATCTCTTTCATGCCTGATGGTCGGTGGTTGGGCTTTCTCCATCCTGCCCTGCCCTGCCCTGCCCCGGCTTTGGATTTCCTGGCCTGCATGCCTGGCAAAAAACGTCGACTCCCCGTGCCGGCTGATAAAAATCCAATGATGCTCAGGAATTCTGACCCTCGACCCACGAAGGGTTGGGTTCCAGCCTTCCGCACGTCTCCTCCACCTGTCGCGCGGCGTTGGGCGGACTACCCATGGTGATCGCCCACTTCTGCCCTCGACCCCCGAACCTTCTTCTGCATACCTTTGCGCGATCATAACGGTAAACCCTCTGCACTGCCCCGTCAGGGTTTTTGTTCCTTCACTTCTGCCCTTCCAGCTGTACCAAAAAAGCCATAGCCTCCGCCGAGTCTCGTGCAGGTCGCGGAGTAGGCCGCAGCATCACGCCGGCCGCTGAGTATCGGCAGGGTGCTCTTCACCTGAGGGCTTAGGCGGTTGAGGGTTTAGCTTCTAGGAAAACCCTCTTTGGAGTTGCAAAAGTGACAGAGGTGCATACATTGTAGACGAACCGTCAGGCGCGGTACCACAAATTGGGCAACCCCTTGAATGGAGGCCACTCTTTGTAGAATCGCTCCAAGGTGCCACGCTTCTTCACATGCTGCTGCTCCATAACAAACACCTTAAGCCTTCACGAAAGTCTCACGAAGGCCCCGCAAACCTTCAACCTTCCCGTGCGGAAAAAAAATGCCATGTCTCCCCTCCCAAGCCATGCGTTAAAACATTTTTCTAGCCCGGCCCGGGCCTGCCCTTGCAGATCCCGGGCGAGCTGCCAAGCCTGCGAAGAGAATCGGCGGCAAACATCAACGTGCAGGGTTTGAGGTTTAGGGCTTGAGGCCTTCAGGTTAGCGCTCAGTGCCTTTGGGCTTAGGGGTTCGAGCCTTGGGTATTCGGGTTTTCTGGCGGAGATTTGGGATGGTGGGTTTATCTTTTCGGCTTCCAGTAAATCGAGCGGTATCTGATGAAAGGCAAGGGCTCCCTAAATTCCGGCAAACACCAAAACCCCAAATCGCGCAGAAAGCAGGCTATGTAAATCCGGAGGAGACTAGGGTCTGAAGCTTTTTGAAATTTAGGGATGCTTCGGGTTTGCTGCTCAAGTTTTGCGGGCTTGGGGGTTGGGGTTTCCGGCGACTTGCAGATTGAAGGCTTCGAGATGGAAGGACCACAAACCTGCACCTGAAGCACTTTCAACCTCAAATTCCTACTTAAACTCTGCAGATCCTCCGGGCTCCACAGGATAACAGGACGCTGGACACCACGCTTTGACAGCATAAAATAGTCGAACTGCTCTTCATGCACCTGGGATTCGACGGGGGTGTGCGGTTCAGGCTTTTTTTGGGGGCTTCGCTTGGGGTTTGCTGAGTTCGAAGTACAAAAGAAACCCCGCCGCCAAAAAATCAATCAATTGGTCTTGGCTTGAGAGTTTCTGTCGTTCAAAACTCAAAGTCTGCGGGATGTGCGGAAGAAGCTTTCGTGCAGCAATAAGGTTTAGATTGCTTCTGCCAGCCTACCGTCAACTCAAGCAGCCTTTGATCCAGAACACAGCCTGGCTTGCCAAAACTCATGAACCCTAAACCCTATGGCCCATGAAACCCTCAAAAAGCCTGCTAAAGCCCTCGCCAAACTATACTAAACCCTTCAATGTAGTGGCACCAAAAATGGAGTCCGGACATATGGCGCGAAGTGCGGCCCGAAGAGACACAAGTGAGCCGCATGCTGTCCTCGCAGGCTCCAAAGGCGATAGCTCAGGTGTATTTTGGGTTTATTGTTCACGATTTAAGTGTCTCCATCCATGCATCCCACGACCCACCCACCCACCCGCCCACCCAGCCATCCATGCAAACATACAGCTACCTCTACATGCACGTCTTCATCTACATCCATACTCGTACCTTTACACAGCCATATCATATACGTATATGCGGTCAATGCATCATGTAGTCCTGTGCTCTTGTATTTGCTTGCTTGCCTACCTACATAAAGGCTGAATCATGCAGTTATTGGCTATACTGAGCTTCTTGCTCCGAGCATGTCACTTGAGGTTCCCACAGCCGGAGATCCGAAACACCCACGTGTGCTGAATCCTAATCTGCCCCTTTGCTTTGAATTCATGTAAAACGTTAGCCCTTCGATTCCTTGTGGCCTGAAAATGGCAGGGAAAGGTTTTGTACGAAAAGGGGTCCCTTGAAGGATCCTTTTCGCTGGAATGAGACTGTGTTTGAAAAAGCGACAACGTCCACGAGGAAATTGTTCCAAAACCTTTTAAAATGGGTCCTGCCGACGCAAGGCAAGGCGCCAGTGATTCAGACGGCCCCCACAGCTGCAGGCCCTCCTGGACGCTGGGGATTGGGGCAACAAGATTTCAAGCTAATCTAATCTATGCCCAGCAAAACAGGATATCCTGAACACGTACATTCTAAACTCCTAAAGCCGGAAACCCTAAAGCCTCAAACCACAAACTCCGAACACCTTGACCGTGAATCCAAACCCTGTAATGAGAACCCTATACGCCCACAATCGTTCCTTCGCACCCTGCTCCAGGGCGCCCTCATCCCGGACCCACCACGCCGCATCCAAAAAGCCCCGGCAACGCAGCGCAGCCGGCAACCCAGAGCAGACCCTGTCCTGGGTTTGGGGTTTCGAAAGAGGGATCAAATATTCAGGCCGCCAGGGTTCAGGGTTTAGGGGCCTGCTTTAATGTCGATACATTTTCTGGAAGGAGTTTCCCTGTTCTGGAAACTTCAAAGGCAGGAGGAGACCCAATGTAATATTTGGTGAAAGTACCCTGAAACTACGAGTATGAAACCATAAACATGCAACTTACACATACCACCGCCGTACAAAATCTATGAATGCCAAAAATGTGGGCTATACATTCGTCAACCTTTGTAGCCCCCTGTATCTTCAACTCCTCACTTTATCCCGTGAGAAAGCACTGAAAATCTTCATTTTGAGCTGGCCCCCAATGTCCTCTCCCTAAAACACCGATCATTACACCAATTTTCCAGGGTTCCTCATGCACGTGTTGTTTGTCAGGCGACGATGCATTTGCGCAACTGCAAACTTGCAGAAGCATCGCGGTAAAGTACTGCAGGCGAACCCAAGCTGCAACACCAGGCCTCAAACAACACCGCCTCGGGGTAGCATTGACATCGCCACGACTGAAGGGCACGGCTTCTTCCGACCACAGCCTGTCGGCCTCACAGGCCCGCCAGCTGAGGGCTGTGAGGCGGCGAGGCTGCCAGAACGAAGTTTTCCAGGACGCATGAACTCTTCGACGCGACGTCCAGGCGCGGCCTTTTTGCACCTGTCGTTGCAGCTGCTTGTGCACACGTTTCTGGCTGGCTTTGAGCTAGGCCGAAACATTGCATGTTGTTGAGCAGCGACTGCAACGCGCGAAGCCCCAGGCCTTGTTGATTCGATCTGCATTCATCCACAGTCGACCATCAAACCCCTTGGAGAAACCAAGCCCGTCTCAGCCAGCTCCGACGTCATTGAATCGAAATGTTCACGCCACACGACACCTGTATGAAAGCACGGTAGTCGACGAAACAATCCGGCGCCACAACTATTACTGGTCACACCATCTTGTTCAAGGCACACTCCCTCTCTCCCACTCTCGATAAGCTGTCTGGTCCAACCTGCATGTCACGTAGGACAGCGTGTGCTCTATGCACATGTCCAAACTGGACTCGAGGCATATCTCTACATGCTGTATAATAGGATTTAATAGGAGAGCTGAAAATCATCTCCGTGAAGCCAACAATGATGTCATCGACGTCAGGCGTCAGAACGTCAAATCAATTCTTGCGAACAAACGTGCACGCACTGCATAGCCTGGGGCGAACCAAGAAACACCGGCATGCTTTCATCGATCCACGGATCTTGGGAAGTCACGCCTTCGAGCTCGAATAGTTGCACTGCAGTCAGAACAAGTTTCCAGGGCCGACTATTTCGCAACAGCAGGAACACCCGCATGACGCGGGTAGGCCCGGTTATCTGGCAGATGGCAAACACTAAACAAGGAGTGTAGGTACAACGCACCTTGGCTGCACACATTCTGTGACGCAGATGCATCTGGTCTCGCAACCAAGGGCCCATGTGGCAAGAACTCCCCAACTGCTTGGCGAACGCCACAGGCCATTGCAATGAGGCTAGTGGACACCTCGCCACGCCTGATTGGCACATACGCATACCAGTCCTCTCCACATGACGTCGGAGCTGGCTGAGACGGCTTGGTTTCCCCAAGGGGTTTGATGGTCGACTGTGGATGAACGCAGATCGAATCAACAAGGCCTGGGGCTTAGCGCATTGCAGTCGCTGCTCAACAACATGCAATGTTTCGGCCTAGCTCAAAGCCAGCCAGAAACGTGTGCACAAGCAGCTGCAACGACAGGTGCAAAAAGGCCGCGCCTGGACGTCGCGTCGAAGAGTTCATGCGTCCTGGAAAACTTCGTTCTGGCAGCCTCGCCGCCTCACAGCCCTCAGCTGGCGGGCCTGTGAGGCCGACAGGCTGTGGTCGGAAGAAGCCGTGCCCTTCAGTCGTGGCGATGTCAATGCTACCCCGAGGCGGTGTTGTTTGAGGCCTGGTGTTGCAGCTTGGGTTCGCCTGCAGTACTTTACCGCGATGCTTCTGCAAGTTTGCAGTTGCGCAAATGCATCGTCGCCTGACAAACAACACGTGCATGAGGAACCCTGGAAAATTGGTGTAATGATCGGTGTTTTAGGGAGAGGACATTGGGGGCCAGCTCAAAATGAAGATTTTCAGTGCTTTCTCACGGGATAAAGTGAGGAGTTGAAGATACAGGGGGCTACAAAGGTTGACGAATGTATATATATATATATATATTCATTTCCCTATTGCTTGATTGACCCGTGGATATCTTCTTTCTGTTGATGTCTCCCTGGGGCCCCTGGAACCCGAGAACCTCATAGTTGACAAGGAACCGCTATTGGGCCAAGGGGCTCATGTGCTCATAACTTGGAACTGCCAGATGAGGTTACAAAGTTGGTTTAGGGGTGTAGGCTTCGGGTGTTTTAGGGGTTTTGGGGTTTAGTGGTTTAGGGGTTTAGGTTTTCAGGTTACTGGATGTAGGGTTCAGGCGCTTGGGATTCGCTCTTAGGGTCTGAACTTCTCCAAGGTCCTTTGTAAGGGTAAAGATTTCGGGTAAGCCATTCGAACGGCGCGGGGGTGCCAACTGCATAGTCAGCATACACGGTCAGTGTGCCAGGTCCCTGCATGAACCCGTACCATGTGATGAACAGTTCCCCTGAAAAGATGCGTCACTTGCCAAGGGGCACGTCTGGATCTAGATCCCCTAACGACCACTTCAAGATATAGAGATAACGGTGACGGTACCATTTCAGTTAGAAATGCATACGAGAACAGTGTAAAAGAAAGTACGGAGGCGTCTTCAACCCAGCCCTGCCATCCCTTTACGAACCTTGAGACTTGAGACTCCAGGCTCGGAAAGACCGCCCGTTCCAGCAGAGAAGCCCTGAACAATGCGAAGGAGCCTGACCCTATCAGACACGCTTTAGACGGACACTGCGCACCTGAGCTCCTTTTCTCCAACTTACCCGCACAGTATCCTGGGTGAACTAACTGTCAATAACCTAATTATTGGATTGTAAAGGAATTCTGAATACCTCAAAGAGCATTAAAGTTACCTACTCTACTGCTAAGCCAACGGTCCAAGTTGTAGAGCGCTCCACGGCCCCCCGCAGAGCAGCCGCCGAAGACCAGTAGATCGACGCTCTCGAAAACCGAGCGGTTCCTGAAGGATAGAAGGTTTATGGCTTTGCTAAGGGCTCTGGAATTGTAAGATGGGGTGACGAAAAACTTTTGACGGCTTGGAGGGTTTAAGGCTTTGTTTCGGTGTTCTACAACCGCAATGTGGGTGTTGAGCATTCTGTAAGGTCCCGTTGGTGAATACGGGTCTTGGGGTATGATATTCGGCTTTTGCACAGGTTTGATAGGGTGTTATAAGGGCTTCACAAAGGCTCGATACCGTTGAAAATGGTTGTCACAAGTGAGGTTCTAGGGTTTGCGAGGCTGTTTTGGCATTCCAAGTTCGGGGTGGTGGAGCTTGGCATTCAGGGGATGATGAGGGAGGTGTGAGGCTTGCTTGTCGTAGGACTTGGGTGGCAGCCGTCTGGAGTTTCGCAGTAGCCTGCAGATGCAGATGGCTCTCAGAAGGCGTCGAGCTTGAGGCTTGCTTTGACATATCGGCGGACCCCACAAGTAACATCAAGTTCTCACAAAGGCAAAGGCTCCCAACGCCTAAAGCATCTTCGTCCTTTGAACTGGAAACAAAACCCTGTTTGGTCACAGCTTCCTGCCCAGCACAACACCGCACCGGGCCACGATGCGGTCCAACTCACGAGTGATCAACATCACTTCATGACCACAAGCTAGAAGGACTCCCACCCCGCCCGCCGGTCCTAAGCTCTTCAAGGACGGCCGAGATAATGCGCTCGCCCTGGAAGAAGTAGCCGGCAGCTGGTGCTTCCCCTTGGCTCTACGCTTTACACGAAGGCAGCAAATTAGACGTTCGATTGCGAAAAACAAGAAAACCCAAGGACATGATGATAGGCGAAGCTGCACACGAAGTCAGTCTTTGATGCACTCGCCCCCTTTGCTTTTAAAGCCTTTGAGCGAAACTGCCTGGGTCTCCTCTCATTCCTGCTCGCCACTGCGAAGCCCCGCAAGCCTGTGCACTCAAACAATCTCAAACCAATGACTCTGCACCCGAAACAGCATAGACCCACCTTTTCAAGCATCGTCTGACAGGCACGTGGTAAGAGTAGACGTGAACCATTCGAATGACAAAAACTAATCATATCATCAGCAGTAATAACACCTACGTCGCCATCGCCGCTACCATCATCAACAAAATTTCGCTGTCTTAATCACGATGTCACCGTCGCCACCGTCATCGCCGACACCATCATCGCCATCATGTCCATCATGGCCATCATCACTTACCATCATCATAGCATCATAACATTAATAATCATAATCATCGTGACCACCACCACCACCATCACCAGTGGCAGACCGCGACCGCTCGGGTAGACACAAACAGCGGAAGGGAAAGGCCGAAGGCCGGGCGTCGGTTGCCGACCCAGGAGTCGGAGCCTTGCAAGCTATGGCAATGTGGAAGCTCATCTACATCTTCTGAACGTGCCAATCGCAATCCTGAACAGAAAAATAATCAAAAATGCCGATCTATCTATCTCTCTCTCTCTCTCTCTGTCAAACCTCCCGGGCATCATGCCCGCCCGATATTCTTAATCGGGAGGGGGGGTGAACAGCTATCTATCTCTCTCTCTCTCTCTCTCTCTCTCTCTCTCTCTCCCTCCATATCGATCGGTGGCGGGCCTGCCCGTGCGGTTTTCACTACAACTCCTGGCTCTAGGAAGGCTTTGTCCGGATCAGCGCTTTTGGCATGAGGGATCAGGTTTCAGAGTCTGGAGTCATGAAAAGTCAGCCAGGCCGCTCCCTTGGGCGATTTGGGAACCTTCTCAGGACCTAAAGCTTCTGTGCGATTGGACTGCCGGGGCTTGCAGTCGCATGCAAATTTAGCTATGTCCAGTCCCCGGGAAATCATTGCTTGCTTTGCAATCCATGCGAGGTGATTTGCTGACCAGCTTGTGCACTGATTGCGGGGTGACTTGGATTTCCTTGCATTGCCAGCTTGTGTTTACCTGTGCGAAGTGATTCGTATTCCTTCGCATGCGAATGCATTCCTGCAGTGCCCAACCATGTGCAAGCTTGTAGAGCTTACTCCTTTTCGCGATGAAACGCAGGATGCTCTGCGGCTCACTGTGGGGAGCTATAGGGTTGTAAGTACCAGCATTTAGGTAACAGCAAGTATCTTACTCGTGGCCCAAGTTACGACTGCACATGAAACACTATGCTCGCGGCGTAGCAAAGGCTTGGTGCTTCGTAGAGATTAAGGTCGAGTTCGGTGCAGGAGCTCTGAAAGAAACAATACCCTCGTAAGACTCCTGCAGAGCCGCGACGGTGCTTTTGTACACGCCCTGGCAACCCAAACCCATGAACCCTTTTACCTTTTTAAACCCGCATTGAGGCCCCAAACCCCCAAACCCTTGCCCCCCAATCCGCGAAGCTCCATAATGCCCCATTGACTTTCAAGGTCCGGGGAGCTGCAGTACGGCACGAACACGCGAGTGGCCGTCGCAAAAAAAGGGTTGGTATCCTAGCAGAGCGAGATATTTAAAGAGGGTGTGTGTAGCGTCTTTGCGGCTTCGGGCGACAGGGTTCAGGGCTGCAGGTTGAAGCGTCTAGGGCGCTTTTGGGTTACCCCCTCAAGGTTTCAGAGGGTTTCGGAAGGCGATGCAGTCCTGGCACTGTACATATGAACTGCTGGGTTGACAGGGCTCCAGTGTGCAAGTTTGGGTTTCGGAGCATCAGGCGGGGTGCTGTGCCTGAGCAATTAGAACCCCGGACATTGGCCGGCATGGTGAGGTCGAGCCTTTCGAAATTCCGGATGAGCTGCACAGCCACAAGATAGTCTCAGCCCAGCCCTTTTGCAACTGGCTTGCAAGGCTTGCAACTTCACGCCAGGACATCTGACATCGTCTGACTCCCCTTTTTGCATCGGGCCTTTACCACCGCCTAAACCCTAAACCCTGAAATTGAACCCTAAACGTTCAATTACTGGCACAGGCCCGGATCCCCAGAGTCTCGACACCTCGATCCTCTGACATGCTCCGGAACCGCCGAATGGCTTTGGGGGTTTCCGGTCGGACTGAAAGGTTTAAGCGTCTCGGGTGCTAGGGTTGAAGAACCCAAGGCTTGCGATTCGGGGTTCAAAGATCAGGGATTCGGTTTCGGAAGACAGAAAACGGAGGATGCGCGGGTATGCGCGAATATGCCCGGGTAAGCGGGAGTATGCCCGGGCATGCGCGTGTATGTGTGGGTGTGTATGAGCATGCGCGGGTATGTTCGGGTATGCGAGGCATGCCGGAGTGTGCCCGGTATGCGCAAGTATGCGCGGGTATGCGCAAGTATGCCCGAGAACGCGTATTAGACTCGGGCGTACTCGAGCGCACTCGAGCGTACTCGGCCTACCCGGCAGTACTCGGGCAAAGACGGGAGTACTCGGAGGGCAGTCGCCGATCGCGACTGCAATCGAGGATTATGCTAGGGACTCCGCTTGAAATCAACACTCAAAGCCGTTATGGGAGTTCGCAAGTGTGCCAGCCGGCCCCCGAAAGCACCAAACGGCGGCTTCACCGCGGAGCCTCCCCGCCCGAGAAGATCCCATCAAGCTGCCGCAGCTGTGGCCAGTGGGCTGAGCCTTCCCATGGACAAAGCTGGGATAAACTATGATCCTCAGAATTACTGCCCTTTTAAATAGTCGTTTGTCGCGTGGCTACACTACTCTATTCGGTGCTGAGCAGCGGGTTTGCTGATACATGTGTTGGGAAGTGGAAACTACTTGTGTCATTTCGAACGATTCATTCTTCAGTAGTACTGCGATGTTTGTCACCGGCCCTTAACTTGTAACGTGGCTGTCACAGTTGTCACAGCTGTGCTTGTCATTATCATTGTACCTGGTCATTAAGTTGTCCTATTGCTGGATACTTTTCTTCAGTTAGAGGCTTCAGGTTAAAGACATTTTCCTTCAAAGGGATCCTCGAATACTAAGTTACTAAAAAACCGTTTCTGATGGGCTTGTCTTCGCCGACTTGGACACGGCAACCCCATGAGTGAAGCGACACCCCAAAACCAAAAAGCACCAACACCCCAACACCCTAAACCCCGACCTTCGCAGAGGACCTTTTCCCGCGAGCTGCACTCCGGTTCGGAGAGTGACGCTGGCTTAGCGTTTAGGGTCTGAGGGGCGTTAAGGACTGTTTAAGGCCTTGGGACTCCGTTTCGGTGTAAAACAAAACCGGGCTCTGCTGGTGCTCTTTTTTGGATTGCATTCGGATTTGGGGGCTTCCGGGTAAATGGTGCATCAAAATACCGGGTCTTGAGGCTTGGGTCCGTGCAATGGCAGTTTCAGGTGCGGGCTCGGAGAGTTGTGGATGGCTTTCTGCTTTTGTCGCCATATCAGCACCTAGGTTATGCCGAAGAAATCTCTACGTCTCCCGCAGCGAAAGAACGAAGCTGGCTTTGATGAAGGAGTTCGGGGAAAACGCCTTGGCACCAGCAGCTAGCCCAATGCCGCGACTTAGGCGTGCCTTCGGACACCTAGTCAGGCAGAGCTTAACTGAAGTTCAAAATAAGTCTGGAGCATCTCGGCAGCTGCGAGCAAACTAGGCGCAGACATCACTGCTATCATAATCATCATCGCTCTCCACCTCTCCGCTGGGCCCACCGAAAGGGAAGATGCCGTCCATGAGGCCTTGGTTGCCCTCAAGAACTCCTCAAGAATTAAGCTAGACTTACCCTGCCACCGATTTCTCAGGCTTAAAAAGGAAACCCCAACAAAGGTACTACTGGGTAACCACTGGGGGCCGAAGATGATGCCGCCCGCAGTCAAGAAGATCGCGCCGATCACTTGGAAAATGTGGATCCAAGCCCACGCAAACCTTGCAGACTTGCAGTGCGCCAAGGGCAGCGATGATACGCTACCCTGAGCCGTACTCATCCGTAGCCCTGAAGCCCTGAAAAGCCCCTGGAGCTTCCAACCTTGAAGCCCCAAAACAGGCTAAAAGCCATGCAACTCCCGAAAAAGAAGATCCTTCCAAACCCTATACTTCCGCCCCTTCAGCTGAGCGCGTGCTGCTCGCCAGGGTGCGTCCTCTGCTTGTAGAGGTCGGTTGGGGCCTCGAAGTCTTCGTACCTGGGGTCGGCGCTGTTATGGATTCGGCGGTTTAAGGTTGCGCCCGAAGTTTAGGGTAAAGGGTATGTGGGGTTCGAGTACTCAAACACAAATCGGGCAAGAGCAAACGAAACAACCCACCTCACGAAGCCGTCCATCAAGGTCGGCCCCCACAATCCGATCACACCGATGGTCCAAGCTCCGATGAAGAAGCAGGCCACAGCCCAGAAGGGGCTCACGATCTTGTTCTTCGGCAAAGGCCAAACACCCTGCAAGCCCATGCTGGTGGCAACCATGAAGCAGGTGATGCCGTAGTAAGGACAGGCATCCGCAAAAAGTGCGTTGGAGTCGGGTGCCAGCACATAGTGGAGGCTGATGATCTTTCCTGGGACGCCGTCGTAGAGCCCGGATATGGCAAAGAAGATGCCGCCGAAGCAGATGATCGTTTGTCCCACAGCAAGACCGGCATTGTTGACGATCATGTTAATCTTGGTCAAGAACCCGGCAGCCACAGCCCACAGCACACCCTCAAGACACATGGTCACCTGCATGACCGTGTGGGCCGTGCCCTCCATCTTGAACCACTTGAAGGTAAAGGCCCCAGCAATCAGCGAGAAGGAAATGACGAGGGTGATACCCGCAAAGACGTTACACCAGTCAGCCATGAGCACCATGAACCTGGGCGGCACCGGCGTCTTGAGCTCATCGCCAATGCCCATCCTGTGCGATGCAAAACCCACACGAAAACACTACGACTACACTGATTTGACCCTTCGGCTACCCTCCGTAATTTATTGAAAGAATCAAACTCTGAGACTTAAAGCTTCCAGTGCGAGCCCCAGCCACTTCAACCACCTCGGCGCAACCGGGGTCGAAAAAGGCGATGCAGTCGGAAGCCCGCGCGAAGCGCTCGAGCCCACGCAGGCCAAGCTCGTTCTATGTGCTTGCGTGCTTGCGTGCGTGTGCAGCGGAGGGGGGTTTGTGGGCCTTGGGCATCTTGCGGTTCAAAGTCACTTGGGCACAGCAGTCCCGAAGAGAACCCTGCAGTCTTCAATCCATCGAAGCCCCAATGCGTGTATCTGAGAGGCCTGAGCTCGAAACCTTATATCCCACGCCGTACGCACCAAGCCGTGTCTTCTGTCCGTGCCTTTGAGCGCAGCAGGCCGGGCGTCACACGTTGCCTGGGTGCCGCAGTCACCTCGCCCCAAGGTCGGCACAATGAGATTACATGACAAATTCTAGGCAGCAAAGCAAGCCTCCGCCCATTCTTGAGCCTGATATTCAAGCGATCCTTCTCCTTCTGCTGATCGCCAGCCAAAACATGAAAGAGGAACGGTGGAAAGTAATGCCGAAAGCAAGGAATCGACCCGAACCCTCCTCCCGACCGCCCCCCCCCCCTCTCCGAAAGAAAAATATTTATCCTGATGACACAGCATGCCGACTCATACAACTGCAAGACCCCATTTAATCCTCCAAGAGACACCTCTACCATGTTCTACTTGATGCAGCGGCTCCGTTACTGCAACCCTATGCAGCACGCTATATGACTCCGCAATGAAACTCGCCTATGACGACCCTGTAAGACCTCATCACAACCACCTAGAGACACACATATTATAGTGTCGAATAGCAGTCTACAGGCCCCCTTGTAACGCAGGAGCTTTGATAATTCGACAGGATTCTGCGGTATATTACGCTATTGCTATAATCAGAAACCCCACGTCAGACTACTGATTCTTCGATGCCTTCACTTTTGGGGCCTAGGCCAGAGCCTCCTCCCTCGAGCCAGACCAGGAGGACGCCGGAGCGACCCTCTCGGAGGTAGAATCCCGGCTCAGAGCCTCGGGGTGGTTGAAGGATTTCGAAGAATTTTTTGTTTTTTTTGGCTTGGAGGTCTCGGAGCGCACATTCGGACAAGCCAATAATTGGCGCGTGTCAGTTGAGGTTGTTCGCTTTTTTGGGGAGTTGGGGCTCAGGGTCTTGAGGTTCTGGTGGTGTTGGTGAGGGTTTGGGGCGCGTACAAGGAAGGCTGTAAAGCTCTGTGTATCTGCAAGTTCGCAAGTTCAGGACTGTTTTTCAAGTCTGTCACTCTGCTCCTAAATTGCCGGCCCAGTGTTTTTTGCATCCTGAATCTCGTTTGCGTGGGCCCCCAAGCCAGGATCGGAAGGATTAAGCTCTGAAATCAACACAGAACTTCAAGTTGGCGTTGGGTTTTGAGCTGAATTCTTCAAGCAGAAATAAAAAGTCTTCCTGCCAACTCACCTGGCAACAGGCCTCAGCCCGAAAGCTCATTCAATCCAACTTCTCCAGTGCTTTGTCATGAGCTTGATTTTTCGGTTTAGGGCTCTAACGCATTAGTGCTGTAGGGCTTCAGGGTTTAGGGCTTTGTGCTTCTTTGCAGAACATGCTTCTGCGGAACGGGGTTTAGGTCTAGTGCGGGATTTTTTACATCCGGTCGACTCGTTTGTGACAATATTTCGAGCTTAGGCGTTTTGTAGTTTTTCAGGCTTCAGAGCTTAGGGATCGAGGTATAATAGTATTTTACATGGTTTTCGTCACTTAAACCCCGGCATGGTTGCTGGCTCTACAAATGGCATCAACCCTGGCCCTAAACGCCGCGCCGGGCAGTCTGAGTGAAAAACTCGCAAGCCCACTCTGAACCAGGAAGCCGTCGTTGCATCGCGCACGGGTGCCCTTGAGAAGGTGCAAGCGCAGCGTCGCGGGCCCCGCATCCGTGGGAGAAGAGAGGACGAGCAAGCAGACCCAGCAACCGAGACGGCCATGCATCTGAAGGGTTCGTAGGGTTCGTCGGAGCGTTTAAAGTTCAGGGCTGGTGGGAGGAGTTTCGGCATGGGTTGATTAGGGCGGGAATGAAGGGTAAGAGGTGTTTCGGGGGCTGTCGATAACGGAGACTGGGCACCTGTTATCTTGGGTACACAGACAATCGCAAAAGAACATGGAAATTCGGGCAGAGAGGTGCAGGGCTAGGTGTTGGGCTTCGGAGCTACATGCAGCACTCAACGAAACCTTTGACAGGAAAGCTGCGTCTGAGGAACATTCGGAAATCCTCTGGTCAGAACTGCATTGAGTGAACTGATACATCACGCTGTGTCACGGATCGCAGTTGTGGGGCTACTGGCAGCCCCATGATTTCCCCTTGGCTTGACAGTTATGGTCCAGCCTGTAGGTGTGGCTTTGATAGTTAGAGTTAGGGCTGTCTTCGGACTTCTTACATTGGCCAAACATTCTCAAGACCTTTCTGGAGTACTTTTCTTCCCAAGGTGCTAAGCCAGACGGAACAAACAGATGCACAGCTCGTCCTCACGAAATAACGACGACACCGGGAAGGTGTCGAGGGAAGAGGCTCGAAGCTCAGTCTATAGAACCCATCGAGGAAAAGACCTCTGCGTGTAGGGTCTTTATTACTTATATATCTCTACCCCCTGGCAAGATCCTGTGAAACCGCAAGAACCGCTCCGTATAACTCATTTACAGAATCCGACAATCATTAATCCCTTGATTACAGCACCCTTCAAGAACCCAACACCCTCAGCCTCATAGGCGCCTACGAAACGCGTCCTAAGGGAGCGGCAGGGTGGAGACGGCCGGCTGTAGCAGCTCCCCTGACGGAGGCTCGCCAATACTGCGAGCCGGGTTTGGGCCGCAAGAGTTTAGGAAGGAAACACTTAGTACCGCACCTGGTATCGTTTGGTGGCTTTCTGTGGTACTTGTTGTGCAAAACTCTATCATTGAAACTCTCGTAGGCTCCCATGATCCGACAGAACTGTCCGACTGCATCAGTGGGCTTCCAGAGCCTCCAGAGCCAGCGACTCTCAACTTCAGGTTACGCTCTCGCAACTCGGACAGGCCAGACGAGGTCTCGGGTTCGAAGTGCTTTGACTGATCGGGACTAGCAGCTGAGCTTTAGGCTCTAGGGGTTCAGGGGTTTAGGGAGGGTACCGTATCACATACTCTTCAGACACGTGTATGCTGGCAGGATACCCTTAAGCCCTTTGATCCCTACACCCAGAAGCCCTGGAACTGCAACACCCCCAAAACCCTCTTTCGCCTCCAAAGCCATCCCCTGCAAATCGAAAGCCAGCCCAAACCATCCCAAACCGAAACCCCACGTCTACACCCCCAGAGCCGGAACAATTGTGGCCCCCTGCGCCCCGAAGCCCTGCGCCTTCGAAGCCCAGATCGGCCAATTTCACTTGGCCAGTCCTCCAACCGCGGGAGTATTGGAAGCACTGGGATTTTACCAGCCTTAGTATATATAAACTAGGCATAAAGCTTTCGGTCTTCCGATGTTAGGTGGTTTTCGGGTGGATTGATCGCCATGCTGTTTTCCAGGGTGTCGGGGTGTGTAGCAGGTCTCCAACGGTTTAAGAAGACTTACCCCTCATCCTCAACTCTAAACCCCAAAGACTGAACCTGCACCCAGGACCTGTTTCGGGAGGCGGGCGCTTTCAGCACGCTCCGGTTTTACGATGTCAAGGTCTGAAGGATTTGAAGTTGGAGGCCTTGTGGTCACTGGTGGAAGTCGGGTTGTGGGTGTACGCTTCGTACGGCCTGTAAAATCCCGATTCGTGGTGTCAGGGCCTGAATCTGCTTAATTCCACCGTCGACGAGTCACAGAGCTGACTGCATCCGTCATCCGAAGAAATACAAGAATGAACGATGAGAATCTACCCGAATGCTGGCCATTCTGCGATACTGGCAAGACTTGGAATCCGCTTTTTGCCGGAAAGTCTGGCTTGCATCTCCACCTCAACTCACAAAGATCGAGACGGCGGGCCAATCCCAGCACAATGAAACTGGCTTGCAACATACAAGCTAGTCTGTGCAAACACTTTGATTTGGACATTGCTGCTATGAGTGTTTCGCATCCTATTGGCAACCTGCCAATACAGCGATCCTGTTTCAGAGCTGCTCTTGCAATACTGATCACAACAGAATCCAGGTTGCCCGGCACTTCGTCCACTAGTGGCGACAAACACCAAGCACCCTGAAAAACCCTAGTTACATGGAATGCAGTAGTATGCAACCGTGCTGCTAGGGATAAACACAAGGCACCCCCATCAAGAAATAAGTGTTATAGTGTCTTGACGGGCCTTAAACTCCCTCCTGCTGAAAACTTTCAATACTCAACGTGTCTAGGTGGCTTGGGAGTTTGCTTTGCCCACTCGGCACCTTGAACTCCCGAAACACAAACCGGAGCTCATAATCAGGGGTCCGGCAGGCACTCGAGTCTAGTGTTTAGGGCTTGGAGCACTCTCGCGCAGTTCAGGGCCAAGGCATTGCCGCAAGTCACTCAACTCTAAATCAAGACGATATTTCATGTGAGCCCTGCCCTCCTGCTATAGAGCCACGATACTTCAATTTACTTCAATGGAGCCCTGCCCCTTGATTTGCCCTCCTCTATAACTATAGCCAACCTACTCTTGAATTAAGACTATACAACCCTGCTGTTGAAAGCGTGTGACGCCGAAACCCTAAACCCAGCAACAACCCCCTAAACGCCTGCCTAAACTTCCTGGATCACTCACCCCGAAGCCCCAAAAACTTATTCACGAGCCCGACTAAAGCCCTGAAATCTGAAATCTCACGACACCCTCAACCCTCAGTCCCTCCTGTCAAAGAGCACGCTGCTCAACTTCAGGTTCAAGTGAGGGCTGCCCAGCGAGCAGCTCCGCCTCGGTTCGCATCTTCCAAGAGCGCTTTCAGACGGGGTTGAGGCTCCCGAAGAAACTACACCCGCGACCCCAGACTTCTACACCGGAAACCGCAAAGGGCCCCTGACAGATGGCTCACGGCACTCGCCACGGCGGCGCCCAAGCGCAAGCGATCCGCCTCAGCTCAGCGAAACAGGGTCCGACGAGAGTAGAGTGTGATACAGGAATCCTGGTGCAGGGAGAAAATTGCGAGACACCAACTCCGAGGAGGGCTTTCACGGTAGATCCTACTTGCTTGGACTGGTGGAACCAGGCGGTTCTTGGTCAGGCTCCTACATTCAAGCTTTACATGTGCGTCGACGGTGTCCTATGTGGATCCTACCGTGAGTTTTCAAGGGTCGCGAGAGGAACATGGCTTAAGGCTTTGGGTTTACGAGTTTCTGTGGTTGACGAGTTCAAGGTTGAAGAGCTCCGATCTCATGGTTCGGAGAGTAGGAACCATTTTAATGATGCAGCGCGTGCACCTCTGCCTGGGGGTTCTGCAGCATGTAAGCCGATACGTCTATAGGGTTTATCGACAAGTGGGGTTCAGGCCTTCGCGGTTTTTGGCTAGTCTTACCAAACCGAGAAGATTAAACCGCAATCTCCTGAAACCAAAACCCGACTCGAAACCCTGACAGCCGCATGGTTGCCAGGGCCTTGCTGCTTAGACTGAGAATTTGGGCTACGTTCCAGGATAATTGTTCAGGGACAAAAAAACACCGACAGCTGAGGCCCCAAGCCCCATCCCCAACAATAGGAGTCAGGGCTTTGAGCTTGGGGCTTTCGAGGTTTCGACCGTTTCGGCGCTCACACTCGAAACCGTTTACGGTTTCAGCACTCACTCTCGGAAGGGTTTAGGGTCTGTTTCCCAAAACATCCATCCTTTCGAAATTTCCGTATGTTTGGGGGGTTTGGTAACGCGTCCTCTTAGTTCTGGAACCGGGCTTTGGCGGGTTCAGTTCGGTGTGTCGGTTCCAGGTTAGGTTAGGGCTCCCGGCCCGAAGTCCCTCAGCTTCAGAGAGGGTAGAGCACAGATTACTGTTCTTGTCTAGCCTTGTACAATCTACTCGAAGGGCCACATGCCTGCACACTGGTGCTGACTGATCATGAGCCCCCCACGTCCCGAATCCCAAGGTGCTTCGAGACGTGACCGAAAGAATTCCTGAACCCTACATAAACCCCAAACCAGAACCGAACTTCCCACAGAGAGAGCCCGAAAGCGCCCCCGAGCGCTCTGCCCAAGGGAAGTCCTTGTCACCTTTCCGCGACAAAGCCAGCCTTGTGGTTTCTGGGCTATTGGATGCTTTGGGCTGCTGGGCTTCGTTGTGGTGGGGTCTCGAAATCTGGGCCACTGGGGTTTCGGATGTCAAGGCTGCAAGATTTCGAGGTTGAGATGGGCCATTGGTTCAGGGTTCAAAGTCGTTTCAGATTTTGCTGGCCTGCAAAGGCAATCTCCGGGTCGAGGAAAACGCAGAGCCAGCATTTTGCATCCAGGCCTATTGCGACTGCCGGGTATGAGGGCATTGAACCGGCAAACCACTAGAGTCACTACTGGAGCCTATGAACCTAAAAGCCACAAGCATTAAAACAAAAGAGCATAAGCGGCAAACTCCAAAATCCCACAAGACTGCAGATCAGAGAGACCTATATCACGGCAGCAGTACGAAGGAACTACAAGCGGAATCCACGAGACTCAGTAATACCGTAACACCGCTCCCAAAGGGGGTCCTTCGACTGGCGTCCTGCGGGTCCAGCATGTCATAGAGGACCTTGTGGCTGGTGCTCGGAAGGTCAGCAGAACCACGAGTCTCCGTTCTTTCGGGGTTTAGAGCCAAGCCCTTTTAGATCTTGCGGGTGCCAGGGCTTTCATTCGGTTTACATTGTCAACATGTTTTGTGCTTGTGGAGGGGTTTCAGGGCCCTCAGTGTTTAAGTTCAAGGCTCAGAGTTTGCGGTTTATAGCTTACGCAAGCTTTCGGTTACGGTTAAAGGTGTCCTCGGGGAGATTAACCTTGGGGTGTTTTGTGCCAGGGCTTGCCGATCGGTTCAACTTTGTTTTGCGGAAGAAAGAAACCGCCCAAACACAGAGTTTGGGAGTCCCGGCGTAGCATCTCGACTCTTGCTGGCACCAGCCTCAGAAGCTTCTGATTTCCGGGGTCGGGGTCTACGTTCTTGAGCTTGAGCCTTTGGCTCGCGAAGGTTGCAGGCGCAAAGTCCGCAAATGCGGTTCGGGCTACGGCTAGTGTCATGCTCGCGTAGACACGAGGAAAGAGTTGAGAAGATCTGGAACCCCCCAATCCAAAGTTAACTGCCCAGTCTCTGAGTTGAGTTCTACATGCCCACACAAACACACACACACACACACCGACAAAAAAAAACACACAAACACTTCGAAGCACGCGTAAGATAGAACTCTCGTGGCCACAGCAAAACCTACATGCACCCGACGAGCCAAACCGCATCAGTGGGACCGCCCTTTGCTAAAGAAATATTGGATGCTTTATGTAACCTTTGAGCGGGGCCTCTTTAGAGACCAGAACGCAAGATTCGCAACACCCAGACAAACAGGCCCCCGGGCCCAAGGGAAGCAAGAGATGCGCATGCTGCTCCATGCCTAGGCCGTCAGGGTCCGGGCTTAGCTTAGGGTTTCTTCTATGGGAATTCCAGATAATGGGGGGACCCTAACATGGAACCAAACAAAAAAATCCGGAAACTCCCGTATCTTGCCGGAGGCATAGCAAGAATAGGTTTAATATTTGGGTCTGGGACTTCTTGCACCATAAAGACGTAGAAGGGTTGAGCCTTGCCCGTGTTATCCCAGAAGAGACGTGACAATGGCAGGCATCCCCGTCGTCCTCACTGGCGGGCTCATCACCGTGGCCGTCACATCGTGGCGGTGTTGGCCGTGGTGGTGGAGATGGTGATGGGGCAGCAGCAGCAGCAGCTGCTGGAGGAGGTTGTTGGTGTCGTTGTCGTTGCTGCTACACTACTGTTACTGCTACTGCTACTGCTGCTTCAGGAGCTAGAGCTAGAGCTAGTGGCACTGCCACTACCACTGCCGCTGCGGTTGTTGCTTTCGTGACAGGTGTGATTGTTACTATTGTTGTGGTGGCGTTTGCTTTTGCTGCTGCTGTGGCTGTTGTTACAGGCATGGCTAGCACATCGCTACTGTTAGTGCTGCTTGCAATTGGTATGATGTGCTTCTCTGATGCTTCTTCCCTTGTGCGCTGTGCTCTTGCTGTTTATGAGCATGTTGCTCTTGTTGTTGTATGAGGTGATTCCCATCCCCATACACAGGGCCCTTGTTAAGGAAACTGCCCTCAAATAACTGTGCGAACAAACTCCTCTGCATAGGTAGTATTCCTTCTGTTGCTGTTGCTGATGCTTCTGCTCTTGCCATTGCTGCGGTTAGTGCTGTTTGCTACTGGTATGATGTGTGTCTCTGATCCTTTTCCCGTGTGTGCGTTTGCCCCTGCTGTTTATGATTATGCTGCTCTTGTTGTTGTATGAGTTGAATCCTGCTCCCCTACAGAGGGTCCGTGCTAAGGTTACTGCACTTAAGTTACCATAACGGGGGCAAACAAACTCTGGACTGTATACCTCGGTTTGGGGAACTCAAACTTGCTTCCCCAAGGAAACCCAGACATCTCCACTCAGCACAAGAATCCCCCAAGGGCCCCAAGAGCTGTACACCCAAACCCAGCTCCCTTTCCGGGTTTTCGGCGGCAGAGTGCCGCAAGTCCTTGGGGATCAGGGGACGGAAGAGCGTAGACCCCAAGCCCGAAACCTGAAACCCCATAAACCACTAGTGAACTTGATGTCGGGAGATTTTAAGGTTTAGGCGGACTACGGGTTTCGGGGGCAACTCGAAGCAATTGGCTTCGTCCTTATGGTTTTAGATTCAGTGTTGGGTTTGAAAATTTACGACGAAGGGTTCGGTTTTGGCATTCAAGTGCGGCTCGCTAAACGTGACAGCTGCTCTGGGCTCGGGACCGAACAACACTAGCTGCTAGCTGTTGGTGAGTCCAGGTGCCTTCCGGAGCTTGGTTTCACATCGTCCGCTTGAGAGCTGGGAACAGCGAGGAGCAAACCCGATACCCTAGTTGATATCCTGAAACCTAAACCTTCATGCGCAGCTGAAACCCTAAACCAAGATTGTCGCGGATGCCGGGTTTCGGGCCCACGTCTCCAGGCTAGCGTTTCGGGGACTGGACTCGGCTTCAGGCTTAGTGTTTCGGGCCGCTCATGTCTGCTGTACGTTGGAAATCAGTGCTTTCAGGGTGCGATTCTTTAAGAACCTCCATTTCGTGGACTCTAGCAGTTCAAAAGGAAACCTAAGGGGGTGCAGGATGCAGAATTTTGGGGTTTGGGGCTTCTGCAAGCAGGTGTCGTTGCTTGATCTTCTGCGCGTCTGCACCTGGGCACTCGAGGGCGCAAGGGGTCCACTCGAGATCTGTTAACAAACAATGGAAACCACTCGACATGTCCTGTCTCAGCCAAACTCGACGTGCACTACGCGGTTTGCCCGCCACCTTTGCAGGACACATGAAGACAGACAGAGCTCCATCCCCACATCTCATAACAAGTATGAACGCATCGCCTAGATACCAAAATGGGAACTAGCAAATTCTGCTGGTTCAATGCTAAGAAACAGTAACAAAGACAACAGTAATCACAGCAACTAAGACTACACTAACACTGATAACACTGACCACAATGATAACAATAACAGTAGTAATCCTCGTAGTCCTGATTTGCGATCGTAGTAACACTAGCAGCAGTACTAAAACCAAGAAAAAGAAGAATACGAAAAATAATAAGAACAACAGTATAACTACTAGAAAACAATAGCGATACCGGTCATAATATCAGTACAATCATAACAATGACAAAAATTTTAAACGTAATGATACAATGAAACATCTTAGTATAATTAATATTGCTATGGTTATTGTTTGTGGAAGTACAAGTAGAAGTGGTAGAGGTAGAGGTAGAGTTAGTAGCAGTAGCAGTGGCAGTAGCTAGTAGTAGTAGTAGTAGTAGTAGTAGTAGTAGTAGTAGTAGTAGTAGTAGTAGTAGTAGTAGTAGTAGTGGTGGTGGTGGTGGTGGTGGTGGTGGTGGTCGTCGTCGTGGTCGTGGTCGTGGTCGTGGTCGTGGTCGTGGTCGTGGTCGTGGTCGTGGTCGTGGTCGCGGTCGCGGTCGCGGTCGCGGTAGCGGTAGCGGTAGCGGTAGCGGTAGCGGTAGCGGTAGCGGTAGCGGTAGCGGTAGCGGTAGCGGTAGCGGTAGCGGTAGTGGTAGTTTCGTTTCGTTTTACACGCCGCCAAGGAGGTCCAGGCTGTGCGACGGGACGTGTGGTCAGACATGTACTTATGACGATGTCCGGTCACTATAAGCGTAAGCTTGGCATACACGCAGAGCGACGCACACTAGTGCACCATCCCATAGACAAAGTCAGCAGCTCCCCACCGCGAACGGCCCGATAAGAAGTGCTGGGATAAATGCGATCACATATATCAAATGATTCGGCAGCACAAATGCTATTGCAGCTGAGCAAAAGAAGATCCACCCGAGTACATCGTGGGAGTAATCTGGACAGAATCGCTCACATCAAAAGCCTGCCACGCAATGCGGTAGGAGGGATCGGAGTGAACCCAGAAGACTCATACAAGAGCCCTCCGTGTTCACCCACGTACCACACCTCACTCCGCATCGCGCTCCACCTGTTCCTCTGCCCTGGCTCGTGCCACGACGGGTCGCGCTGACCCTTGTAGCTGAAAGCCCAAGTCCGGCAGAAAGATCCGTTGGGCCGTAGACAACCTGTCAGTGGATTTGGCGTGGAACGCAATCAAGATTACTCGGTTGCCTCCTGACCACGGATACGTAGCATGTGGACAGCGTGGGCAGAGTACATGAAACGGTTTGGCAATGGCCATCAAGCGTCCTGGACCAGTACAGTCGTCCACGAATACCGACCCAGTTGGGTGCGCCTCCCACAACTGGCCTCCGCACCACCGGCTGCACGGAATGATGACATTGTGCGTCCCAGCCGCATTGGCTCCATCCTTATGCAGAAATGATTGCACATTGTACGCCAAAGTACATGAGCTGAAAGCGTAGGCCTCAGTAGCACCGCGGACCAGTGAAGTACACCACACTGCAAACCAGGTAGTGGTAGTGGTAGTGGTAGTGGTAGTGGTAGTGGTAGTGGTAGTAGGGTGGTAGTGGTAGTGGTAGTAGGAGGAGGAGGAGGAGTAGTTGTAGTAGTCGTCGTAGTAGTAGTAGTGGCAGTCGTAGTGATAGTAGTAGTAGTAGTAGTAGTAGTAGTAGCAGCAGTAGTAGTAGTACTAGTAGTAGTAGTAGTAGTTTGTCACCCACCTAGCACGGCACTGCCAGCTCCGCGGGGTTCTCTATGACCAACGACGACTGGATACATGCATTCTTCCACGCGAATTCCGACAACCAACCGAGTAACACAGGCCTCATGATTTAAACACACAAAACAAAAGTCAAAGCCAAAAGTGCGTACCGGCCTGCATTACTCACAACACAACACTTTACAGCACAGTCGGTGACTTGTTGCCGCTTTGCCAGTCTTGGAAGAAAACACCATAACAAGGAACCACTAGTTCCCCCAATTCAGAGGCAACCGCACGAAGAAGTCGTCTGTGCTTCCCCCCATCGGGCAAGCCCGTTTCCAAGACAGCGAAAACACAAGTTAGGGCCACAAAGACGCGGGTTTGCCCTTCAGGGAATGTCATTCACAAAGGATGTCAAACTACAGCAGTACCAGTTATTGCATTCCACTACGAATCAAGAATCAATTACAAATTCTACGTTGCAAGCATCTCTCACCTCGCACTAACTATGCAGGGGCAGCCTTCAGTACTGTACAAAGCATCCTCATAAGCTCATCCTCCTTACGCACCGGGGGTGTCGTCTCTGTGACGGCAAAATGCCCCAGAGGCCAAACACACAGCCCAGTGATCAAGCAGTCCAAAGTCGCCAGGTAGGTATCATCACTCTGCCAGGAAACGCACCGTCCTTCCACGAGGCACAACCTCCGTAAGCTGACCTCTTCGCAGTCCACTGCCAGAGCCAGTGCAAGAGTTCGGTCGCAGATATTGACAACCATGGACATGTCCCGATACCCCGGGGATTGTGTCATTCAAGCAGCAGCCAGGAATTCGTTGGGTCACTCATTGGTCACGGTACTTGTGTTGGTGGTGCAAAAAGTGACCACAGCATCTCGCTGTCTGTATTGCAAGTGTTGCCATGACCTCGTCTTCCAGCAAGTTCCATGGAGAGTTGGGCAGTAGTAGTAGTAGTAGTAGTAGTAGTAGTAGTAGCAGTAGTAGTAGCAGTAGTAGCAGTAGTAGTAGTAGTAGTAATGGTAGTAGTAGTAGTAGTAGTAGTAGCAGCAGCGTCATCATCATCAGTACCAATACCATTGCCACTGTTCTTACTGTTCGCATTGCTGTTGGTGCTATGGCTCGCAGAACTGCTATTGCTACTGTTATTGCATTTATTGGTAGTTTTAGTTGTTCTTATTCATATATTGCTATGTAATATTAGTCTTGTTGTTGTTGCGTTGTTGTTGTTGGTGCTATAGAAACATGGACATGAATATTCATGCCTGCGGTGAATTATTCACCTCCGCGTCGAAGACTACTCGGTGCTGACGCCGGTAGGAGATGACCGCTGAACCCTCCCTGGATCCATGAAACTCAGGGGTTTTCGTTTCAGGGTTTTTGTTCACTCCATGGTTCAGGGTTTAAGTTTAGGGGTTGAAGGATTTTCTCGGGTCTGATGATGGATTTAAGGCCTTACAGGGTCGAACAGTTGGGGTTCAGGATCCCACGGTTTCGGCAGATCGACGCATGGCAGATCACACTCAACCCCAAAACTCACGAAAACAGGACATTTTACCAGCCTAGCCCCTAGCCCTAAACCCCCAAAGGCCCTGAACCCGACCGGGTCTTCTGCCCCTCACCCAAATAGCCGTTGAATCCTTCCAGTCCCAAATGCTGGGGCCGAACCCTGAGCCCCATTTCAGCACGGGCTGTTGGTGTAGGCCCGCGAACCCCTGAAACCTAAACCCCGATCGCTGGCTAGTCTACTCCTCCCTCTGAAGGGTAGCCTCGCGACCCAAGCAAAATCAAGGATCTAGCAGATTCCTTCTAAAATTTTAACTGAACCCGCACCCTGAAAAAATTGCGAGTTTTGTACCCTAAAACCTACGGCCTAAAGCCCTGCACAAGGAAAAGCTCTCGAAGTCTCTCCCGCCCGAGGCCCGAACCCGGTACATCTTTGAAGACCTGCAAGCAGGCTTTGCTGAAGGGTTTGGGGCTTTGTTTAGGGGCCTCAAAAAATAGAAGAGGGTTCTATCAGGGGGTGGTTTTTACAACGGTTTCATGGCTCTTTACAGATCAAGCAAGAACTGATACAGAAGCTTCAAAATCACGAACCCTACAACCGTAGTAAGCATCGCGGCATGTCCATGTCCAGACACGGTTTCTCAGGCTTGATGGGATCCTACCAGATTCGCAACGACAAACCCTCAATTCCGAAAGGAAACCCTTTATCCCCAAATGTAGGCAACTCGGATAATCTTCATTATGACTTGCTTGTTTCAAGGTTTTTTTGGCCAGCTGCGTAGATTAAACACGCGTCCCCGTCATTCCACTGAACCCCAACATAGGGACCGCAACAACGAGAACAGGGTCTTGGCGGATATGATAGTAAGCCTATGCAAGCGCTGTAAGGGAATAAATGCTATTTCCCTTGTTTTCCTCAGCCTTTTTCCCACCATCTAAACCTTTCTGAAACCCTGAACGTGGGCCTTTATGAAAACATGCAATTACAAACCATTTCGACCCTCTTTGACACCCCGCGGGCCCGAGCCGGGGCCTTGACGACCACCTTCCGGCCTTCATCAAGCTTCCCAGCCTCGTACCTGAGGGTTTCGGGCTTGGGGTTAGGTAAGGGCCTTCCTGAGCTGTCGGGTTTCAATTTCGCGTTACAGAGTTTCGATTTGTTGTGATGCTACTCTCTCAGGTTTTGAGGCTTCAGGGTTGTTGTGCTTCCAGTTGTGTCCTTTTGCATGTTCCCTAAGCACAGGGAAACAATGCTTTCTGAAATGTCCCAAACATCCTTAAACCACGGACCAACCTAAACAGTGCGAATCCTAAAACCCCTCCGCCCCAAAACAACTGTAAAACACGCAGCCAGGCAAAGCACCTGCCGGCTGAACCCATGGTCTGCTCGGCATTCCTGGCTTCAGTAAGGGCTCCTCCTTGGAAGGGTCTCCACTAACGGGGCCATTCTTAAAAGGCTCTTCTTCAGGGCTTCTACAAGGATTCTGCAGATTCCTGTCAGGAATCCTTTGAAAGGGCTCTTTTACAGGCTGCCATAAGGGTTCGTTGAAGGGTTCCTGCAACTCAGCCTTTCAGAAATCTAGGGAGTTTGGGCACCCGCGATGCGACGATGGTTCAAGATTCTTTGGATTTTCCGAGGTTTACATTGTTGTAGCTGCGGAGTTCAATGAAGGCTCGAGATTCGCTCCAGCCTCCAGGTTTTAGGGTTCAGGCGACTTTTGGGATGTAGGGTTAGGGCCTAGGGCTTACGCGGGTTTGTATGGTTTGCAGGAATCTTGGGGCTTGAAGTGGCCTCTCATCAGTGTACATGCAACAAATGCCTTCACTTACAACCCGGGCCAAAAGAATTACGGTTTCGCACTTTGGGCTTGGGACTTATAAGGTTTGGAAGTGAACTTGTAGGATCTAAGGCCCTTGCGGTTTGGAGTTTAGGGTTTAGGGAACCGTATCTTCCCTCTCGGGGCTTACTTCTTGGGATTCTCTTGGACCAGCCAACGATTTTTGGCTTCTCGGATCAGGGACTCAACATGTAAGTCTCAGGTGTTGGTGGTTGGCGTGTCTACGGGTCCCTTACGCTGCTTCTGTTAAGGCTTGGGACGCAGGTGACGGTCTTGTGCACAGCGCAGACGATGTCGGTGCAATGTTTGTGGCCATCGTCGGCGACGGCACCATAACGGGCTTTTTTCGATGCTAGTCCTGAAGAGTGAACCTGCGCCCTCAAAACCGAACCTTGATGCTGAACTGGTGTAACGTACACTACTTTCCTTCGATTCCGCCTTCCGTCCCTTTCCGAGAACCCGTTGTTGCTACTGCGAGCCCCGACAAAGCAATGAACTCAGGAAGAGCCTAACCCCTCAAGATGATACATCCATCAGGCGATGTCCGAAGTTGGAAGGAAGCAAAGACACCCGACATCCACGAAACTACTCCAAACGCTGAAACCAGAATAAGCCCCCTCTTCAGGCCTATTGACAAAACCGGGCCACAAAATTTCAGACCGCAAGCTGCCAGCTGCCCGCCTGAGAGCTCGGAGCACCAGCTCCTCTGAGAGCTCCCCGGAGGTCGACTCCGCTGAAGCGGGTGCGGAAGACTCCGAGGCCTCGGAAGCTTCGTTGGGGCAAAGCGCTCGGCGCCCCTAAACTTATGTCTATGTGTGGGAGGGGATCAGATGTTGGGTTTAGGGGGGGAGTTCTTTTCCAGCGAACATGTCTTCGTGGGTTTTGACTTTTTGGGTCTAAGCTTCTGCCGGAGTGAGTCGAATGACCTCAAGGCTCGGTGTGTGCCAGAAAGGTTGCTTCAAGCTGTCGTTTAGATGATTTCTTTCCGGAATGGCTTGAATGCACCAAGCTAGACCAGCCTCGTCACACCAGCAACCGCAATCTCTGGCAGTTTGGCAACTTCCGTGCTTCGGACCGTCGACGCTTCTCAGAAAACCCAAACAGCCTCGTTGAGCCCTGAATGCTCGAACCCCGCAGTCAAACTTCCCAGAACCCTAAAGCAGAAACAGTGCAAAATTCCCCCCGGAAGCTTGGCCCGCAATCTTCTTCTTTAATCCCTACGGGACCCCCTGGGCCAAGTTCTGAGTCCCGTGGCCCCCATGGATCGCGGCTCCCAGGGCCATGGGCAGCAAGGGTCACATGTCGGGTTTAGGAAATGACTAAGACTAAGAAGCCCAGCAGCATAGGTTTAAGCTAGAGCAGCTTGCGGATATACTCCACACTGGTAACCACAATGGTTCTTCCTATGCGAGACACTGCGCACGGTATGACGGGCAACCTCGCCCGTGCCGACCTGAATATTGAAGTTTGCGCACAGCATCTATGCATGTTTATGGTCTGCGACGCAGCCGAAAGTCAAGCATCATCCAAAGAGAACTGGTACCAGCCCTCATGTGTATCTGCCACGACCGAAGTTTGGACCTTCGGGGTTATATAGGGGCTCAAGGGTTTGGACACGTAGAACTTAAGTGGCACGTTGGGTTTACCCGAAACCCTCCAACCGCACCACAAAGCCCAGCAGTACTCTTTGTGCAGGCAGTGAAGCCCAGTTTTTTCGTAGCCCCGGACTCTTTTGGGGTGCTTTGGGCCGCGTCTCTGAAAGTTTTTAGGGGCAGCGGGGAGCAGACTTCCAAGTACACCCGGGCCCTCAACTAACCAGAACGGAAACTACTTGCGTCAAGCGTCTCGAGGCTTGAGACGCCTCAAGGCCTTAGTAGCCTTAAAGTTTTCGCGCTTACAGGGGGAGGCTGTCGTCCTGAAGGGTCTAAATTTTCCGCTTCGAAGCGCCAGGCAAACACCAACCCCAAGGCTACACCAGACTACACCCCAGAGCCACAGGCAGATACTCCTTTGACAAGGCTCAACCCCAAAAATTTCGCAGCCCCGGGAAAGCCAAACGTCAACCACCATCCTGGTTGCCTTTTCCTGAAGATCTGGCGACGATGGTGCCTCTGCGCACCTCCACCGGTCCGTAGCTGGTCTGCACAAAACAGCCTCTGTCGCTGAGCGCGCCAGTGCAGGGCTTGAGTTTCAGGATTGATGGGCTGCCTACTTTGGAAAGGCTTTATTGCTGTTCTTCTTCAAGAGTGCTGGATTTGGACTTTCCGAGGCCTCGTCAAGCAAGTCGGACCCGTGTTGCGGCCGCCGCTACTACTGCAAAGGCTCTACTCCGTTTACACTACTCCTACGGTCTTTGTGGTGGTTGATGATTGGGTTTCCATGGCCCAATCAAGATACGGGATTGGTTCAGGGGAGCCTTTTCTTGACACTCATGAGGGTCGGTTGGGATCTCAGCCTCCATCTCGGACATACCTGCAGCGTGTAAGCTCTCTTGAAGGGGGGTGCATCGTTGCGTTGCAAGTTCTGCCTCTTTCATTCCCAACTGAATGCACTAAGGAAGTGCGAGGCTGGATGCACGAAAGCTAGCGGCCAGGGAAGTCCGCTTTATGGAGTCATATTAGCTCCGTGTAGCTCGAGCTTTGCCCGCACAGCTCCAAACCGCGAGTCTCTGGCATGCCGCAAGGCTCACGAAAAGGCTTCGCTACCAAGCACCTGGCAGCCCCTACATATTCGGCCATTATATGCACAAAACCCTCTTCTGATGGTTAAACCTTGAAGCCCAAACAGTAGGCCATAGGCAGCCGCCCCCAGGCAAAAATCAAATTTGCTCCAAGCGGCTGTTCGGGCAGGTCGAGTCGTGGACCAAAACCCAGCCATCTAGGAGCTCGAGAAGTTGGCCTTTCTCCTGCATTTCAGGGATATCGGGCTGGGTTTACGGGTTTAGGTTTAGACTTTATACGGAAACACTTCAGCATTTACGGGTTTCAAGACTTTAGGATTTGAGACAGATTAATGATACAGTATCTGCTTGGCCCATGTCACCTTTAGGATGGGATCTCCCGCTGAAGTGCAAGCTTCGCGTTACCCATATCCTCAACCCTGGTTCCGTCCAGCCTCCACCGAAAGGTCTACGACCGCCAAGGCCTCCACGCGCTCTCGCAGAAGGGCCGCAAAGCCCCGGAGCCAAGCGAGGATGAGGTCACTGAAAGTGAGGAGGAGGAGGTCCACATGGGCCTTTGTTCGTGACTTGATTCCTCTTTGCATCACAATTTTCTCGTCTACACTTCCCCTGTTCCTTCAGGCTTCGGACCTCCCACAGACTCTGATACATGTGGCACGCGCTGCTATCAGAACCAAACCGCTCCTGGGCACCTGATCTTCCAGCCACTGCGACAGCGACGCCAAAGAGGGCGGGCCACAGTGAAGGGAAGGTGACTGCAAATCGTCCAGAAAAACTTGCCAGAGGAGGCTGCAGAACCACTCATCACCATCCTGGCTCATGACCGCTTCGACCAGACTACTAAAACCCTCACCAGGCTGAGCTGCGGCGACCTCTGCCACGAAGATCTGCGGAGGTCCCAGAGCCGCGTCCGCCCTTCGCTGGGAGAGTTTCCCAGCCCGTGCTGCCCAGTGCCCAAGCATCGCTCCGGCTGTCCCCATGACGAAAGGCCGAGGTTCCTCCTCAGACGAACGTCCGAGACTGGGAGGCTTAAGGGGCTTGGGCTTGAGGTGCTCAGGGCTTACGCTCTAACACTGGGACTCGCCAGAGGGTTGAGGGATGTTACTAGCATCTTTCACGAAAGCGTCCTGGGCCTCGCTGTTCAGAACGGCCTCCCCGACCACAATGGCTAAGAAGTAACTCGAATCCACCATGGGAAGGGGCGGGCACGCAAGCTGCAGTCCCGACTTTAGGTGTGCCACATTGACCTGGCAGAGCCACTTCCAATTAACCAACTCCGCCATCCAATGATCGCTCCTGCCGAAGGGATAATAAGGCTGGGCTTTGAGGCGAACGGAACCTTAGCTAGGCGCTAGCTTGTACGTGCTACCTGCAATCGAAATGCATAAGCATACTATGAATTCCCGATCCCAGCTCTTGCACAGTTATAGTAGGAGGTCCGAATTTGGTCGCCTCCTGGGACCCGTCGCCTGGCGCCGGCAGATGCTCCGAGGCCACCGCAGGCCCGTCCAGTCGAAGAGGAACCTCGGCGCTCAAGCGGGTTCGGGTTGGGAAGGCTTAAGCTGGGCGACTCGCACAGTCGCACGGGCAGACACGGATTCATTGGTCGGAAATTTAATGTGGGGTTTGGCGTCGAAGGGCCTCTGGGGTTTAGGGGTTTAGGATTTCAGGTTTATGGGGTCTAGGGTGTAGTGCCTCAAAGGCGACATACAATTGTGGTTCAAGTTCTTTTTTGCTCCTGCATCGCACATTTGGTACGAAGACAATCCAAAGAACAAAAAACAGAAGTTGGTCGCTCTATGGCATCCTTCTAAATTTCCATGTTCGTATAAATATGCTGACAAAATGAAGCCAAACATAGCCTGCTTGCGGTTATGGTAAATCGCGAACACAATTGCTTGAACTCCTCAGTGCCCCTCAAAAAGCTTGAAAAGCCCAACCCTTACCCAAGACCAGTTTATCCCATGTTTCCCTGTTGACAGAATCCTGCCATCAGCTCGGGAACCCCAATTTCTGATCACTTTTCGTAGCGCTACCCCACACCCAAAACCACCACGGAAACCACTCAACTGTCAGCACCGGGCGCTCCTCCGTCACCGGCCAAAGCCGGTTTTGGAAATCGTGGAAAACGGGGTGGTGCTCATACCTACATGGGTTTGGTGGTGGGATTTCTCGTTGGCGGCTCTTAAGCTTCAGTGTTCGAGATGTAGGGTTTGAGATCGTGCTTCAAAACTGTTTCGGGGTCGCGGTCCGTTTGCGTGGCTTTGGGACCTTCGGGGTTTCGCGGTTCGGCTAAGCCTACTAGATGTTAACAGAATGGTCCACGAATGTCGCTGATCAGACCAAAGATGTTTCCCGTTCTCGGTTTATGTAGCGCAAGACTTCTTGAGGGCGCCGCATCAGTCAGAGTCAAACAGCTTGGGACAGTGCACAGGCTGCCTCGCCCTATCGGCACGATTCACCACCGGTGGCAGCTGCCGGGGCTCAGCGGCAGTCGTCAGCAAGCGAAGGCGCTCGAGTGCCTTCACACAGTAGCACAGTCAAGAAGCAAAAAAACATTCACCCAAAGCAGCACCAGAAGCGTTAGGCATGAGCTAAGCATGAGCTGGGAAGGCCTTTTCTTTCATTCACGGTACAGCAATCGAACCACTGCCAAACCGCCGCAGCAAACACTAACACGAGATGCGGTAGGTTGAAGAAACATGCATAGGGAGTGGGACAGCACCATCTGCAGCCGTGCAAGCAAATTTACGAAGTACGAACAGCAATATGAACCTATCTTAAATCAAAGAACTTCTAAGCCATATCAGGAACCCAAGTTGTTGGTATCGACGCCTGAAAACAACGTGTCACGAAAAGCTGCATTCTCTGCGTGGCTTGATAGAAGCCCTTCAGCTGCCGGGCCTTTGGAGCCACAAGAACATTAGCTCGTGTCTAAAATTTGGCAACGAGTGTCATCCGTCAACTGAGCTCCGCTGCTCTTCGCTGGCACCCCGAGCTCCTGCAACGTCTGGCAGTCAGTCTAGCGGGTCGTGGGCTTGCGGGATAAAGCACCCCACGCCCCATCGTCTCAATTCTTATTCTTGTTGCGTTTGGCCGCCCTGCTTGAAATCCGACAGAATCGTCGTCCTCCTCGAGCACGCAACCTTTTCCCGGACCCGGGGCCCCTTTGGTGCGGCCGCAACTCCGGAAGGGACCACCATGGAAGCGAAACACTGGGACACCAGCCTTGCGAAGCTCAGGGGCCGTGAGTCTAGTGCTTAGCAAGGTTTGGGTTATTTGGTACAGATACCCAACCATAACTATCACCATAATGATAGCAGTCCGATCATCCTAGCCGTGCTCGTGGTTGTATCGCAAACAAGAGCAATAGTTGCAGCAGCGATGGCAACGGAAGCAACAGCAGTACTTCGACCAAATTCCGGCAGCGGCGAGGGTTTTTTACCACAAGCACCTTTTTACCAGCATCCGACAAAGCCAGGTCCCAGTGCAAACCCGAGCCCAGGGCTCACTGCAAACTGCGTGGAGCGAGGCACGCGGCTGGCGAGGGGTGGCTCGAAGGCGGAGTGGCGAGGAGGTCGAAATAAGCTTTGCCGAAATCACCGTCAAGGAGCAAACGGGTGGGCAGCTGGTCCTGCAAACATCTCGGACCTGCGGGGCCATGGCGAAAAGCTCATCTGGACCGGGGACTGGGCTCGTCCCCGCGATCGCCAAGGCCTCCTCGTCCTCAGCACGCCGCTCACGGACAGGTGCGTGCTGTGAACAGTCAGCCTCTTGCTGAGCTGTTGTTCTTGTCACTTGGTCCCAGAGCCGGCAGGAAACTCCGAAGTCTTGAGGCCCGAGACCGTAAGGGCCCCCAGTACGTGGCGGCGAGCCATAGGGAAAACAGTGCGTGAGCTATCGTGTCTTGTGTGACCGCTGGCGATCGGTGAGGGTATCTAAGCGCTGCCACTGTCAATCGACAGTGGTAGCGGAGCCCTCGGTGAGTTCCTTGGCGAAGCTACGTGTTTGAGGGCATTGCCTAGAAGATCCAGAAGACCAGGGGCGACAGTGCCATTTGGGGCCGACTGATGCCCTCTCCAGGAGAATCCTCTGCTCCGGCGGAGGCCGAAGACGGCGGTCCACCTTTCAGGGATCGGGAGCCTCCTCCGTTTTATGACGGAGAAGAACCAGAGAGAACATTCAAGCCTTGGCTGCGAGAGCTAGAGCTGTGGGCACATGATACCGAGGTGCCGAAGGCGAAGCACGGGATGCGCATGCTGAGTCGCTTGGGTGGAGTGGCCAAGGCCGCGGCGAATGAGCTATAGACATCGGAGATTTTGGGCGGGTTAAGAGTAGCCTGGCAGCACTCTCACAGATCTAAGCTCACGAAGTCAAAGACCAATCTCGTACACACTGATTTTCCATGGGCGTACCCGACTAGGCTCAGGCCCTCCCCTTGATAGACAAAAGCCGCGGCACCTGAGTCTGCACATGTGCTCGCTTCCACGTGGCAAGCACCAAGGTGACCTGGCAGGTCTTCACACGAGGGAAAAGGAAAATGTCGAAGAAATTTGGAGCGATCGCCTCCATGGAAGGCCACGTCAGCTGTTTCAGCCGGCTCTCCGTTCACAGTCAAGACAGAGACTTTTAGTCTGTGTCCTCGCTCCACGAAGGTGCCCACAAGCAGCGTCGGTGTGGTAGCTCTGGCCCTTTGGTGTCAGGTACACTCGTTGAGGAAGCTCACGTCGAGGGGGGCGTCGCTGGAGTGCATCTCTCTCCTCTTTCATCGTCTCGAGCTGGCGCCACAGGTGGGTACACTCGCCACTCAACTCGCCAACTCGCTCGCGGTAGTCCTCGAGCTCGTTCTGGTACTGGGAGGTCATGGCACGGAGATGGCGAAGCTCAGTCCCATGCTGGAGCTCAGGAGTCTGGGTCCCCCTCGTTGTGGTAGTCGTCGGGCTTGCCCTTGGTGCGGTCAGGTAGCCAATGATCTTGTACACGACGAAGCCAAGCATGAGGGTGAACTGCAGCAGGAGGAAGCCGAGGAACAGGTCGGTGAGGTAGTCGCGGTGGTCGTCAGCATCGTTGGTGTCCCGGGCACCCTCTACCGCCTCAGTCGCTTGAGCAAGGAGCACCGTGGCGATGTGCTGGGCGATTCGTGACCCGTAGTGGCCACCCGAAGCCCGCTGTGATTTCTCTCGCTCCTCCTTCGTTTTCTTCTTGGCGGCCACAAAGTCCTTGTCGTAGACCAAGCTGAGGCGACCCGTCTTGAGCATGTCCGACAGGTCCTGGCGGGAGGAGATCTTGGTCAGCCCATCGGCCAGCATCCTCTCGCTCGAGACCCACCTCAACACAGTTCGAAGGCGCTTGAGCTCATCCTGGATGCACAAGATCTCGATGGCCGTCCTTTTGTCCTGTGCGCTTGTGAACCCGGGCTTCAGGAGGGCATCATACAAGGCCTTTGCGTCGATCACTGCCACTGAACTGCCGGGCCACTGTGCCGTCTCTGGGTCACGAGGGTTTTGCCGTGGGTCCAACATCAAGGAAATCATGGACTTCACCATCACCAGCTCGTCGAGGGCCGTGGCAAGCCCCTGGGCTTCAGCGGCCAGACTGCTGCGACAAACTCGTTGCAGCTTGTGCGACCGCCAACTCAGGATGCTATAGGGAACCGTCTCGCCATTCAGCACCCGCTTGGAGGTCATGATCACCAGCAGTCCGCCTTGCGAGGATCCATCAGGCCGAACCGCAAAGGCAGGGTCGCTGAACACCAGGAGGCAGATGTCGTTGAGGTCCTCAAACACCTTGCCCATCACAATCCGGAAGGAGTCCTGGGCCTTAGCAAACCTCAGGGTCTTGTTCAGCTCGGCAACCAAGTGGTTCGTGGCATTGGGGACCCCTGCTGCCTGAATGCTCAAGGAGGCACTCAAGCTCGGAAGCCCTTGGCCAGCTGGCCATTGAAGGGCTCCAATCAGGCCCCTGAGCTTGCCGATCTCCTTCTGGTTGAGGGGGGTGTCCTCCTTGGCCTGCTTGTTGGTGGTGGTCACGGGGGCGATCTTCTTGATGTAGTCAGCGTATCCCAGGACGATGCCATCCTTGTTCCGCTCGAGCTTGCCCCCACAGTACACGATGGTTCCGCCACTCAGGAGCACTTGCCACTTCCCAAAGTCAAAAGTGGAACGCAACCGAACAATCGCGGCCTTGAACTCCTTGTTGCTCTCGTCACCGCCAACCAAAAGGTCGTCGACGTGCAGCACCAAGGCCCCGATCAAGAGGCGCTGAAGGGAGAAGAGCAGGTAGAAACAGCGGTCCAACGGGTGTCGTTCCCATCCCCCTTCTCTCAGCCTTCGATCGGCCTCCTTCCACCACAGAAGAGGAGCATCGGCCAGCCCATAGGCTGATTTTAGCATTCGCATGAAGGTGCTCTGCTGGCCCATGCCAAGTAGCGGTCCACAGTCGGCCGGCAGTTTCACGATGATCTTCCGGTCGAACTTGGCCCCCGACAAGAAGGCTGTCCGAACATCTCCGCAATAGACGACCCACTGCCAGTTGCCAGCAAAGGCAAGGAGGATCATCTTGCTTTGCCGGGTCGCCGTGGGGGAAGCCTTCTCGATGTTCATCACATCGGGGTCTTGGAAGCCCCTCAGCACGAGTCTCGCCTTGGCCTTTGGGTTTCCACCATCCTCTGGAACCTTCCACGACAGGACCCATCGGGCTGTCACTGCCCGTCCGGTCTTGTCCTCACCATCATCGGCGAACTGCCACACCTGGTTCTTGAAGTACGATTCCAGCTCGGCCCGCTTGGCTTCCATCATCGCGGCCCTTTGGTCCACCGTCATATCATGTCATATCTTTCTCCCTCGCCTCGGCCCTGGCCAACCATGCCTCGTCCAAGGCAATCTCGCCATCCACAATGGTCCAGCCTTTTGGGAGGTCGTTGCCCACACTGTCCACAACATAGGCATCGATATTAAGAGGTCATCGTCAGTGTCGACCGGTACCGGAGTGTTTTCCGGCAGTGCGCTGGCAGCCGCACCCGACGCGGGGAGAGAAGAAGAAGACGCGGCAGCAGCAGTGCGCGGGCGCTTGTCTGGCGGTGGACCAGCGCTTTCGGAAGCTTCAGAAGGCGCCGGTTCAGGCTCGGCAACGCTGATGCGGCGGCGCAGTGACGGTTGTCGGGAGAGCACGTCCTGGAAGGCAAGCTCCACCACACCAGGCACAGGAGGCATGAGCACATCAGGCTCACGCTCGCTGTCGGCATCACTGGGTGGGTTGGGATCGGGAAGGCTTGGCTCATAGTCGGAGAGGTGGTCGTCGTAGTTGTCCTCGAGAACCGGGCCATCCGCGGTGATGTCCTTGAACTGAGTCGTGCTTCTGGCTTTGAGTTCCTGCAAGGCCTCAAGGGCAGCGGCAGGATCAGCAGCAACATTGAAGCCGGTCTCCTCGATGATGGGGCGCACCTGGTTCAATGAGCGCCTCATGCTGGACTCGGCCTGGATCGACACCGATGATGGTCGAATGTGCGTGCTCACCATCATGTGTCAGGCCACCCGCTTTGTGACCATCCGGGTCCTAGCCAGCGAGCAAAGCAAGGAATTGCTGAAAGGGCTGGAAAGGGCGTGGATCAAGCACTTCGGAGTCCCCAAGATAATCCGCATCGACGAGGCCAAGATTCTCCAGGAGATAGCGCAAGTACCTCTTCACATAGACGATGCTCCCAAGAACTGAAGCCGCACCGCCGTCCTGCACCGCCCGGTTGCACGTCTGGTTGTCGTCCTCGTCGTCGTGGTCCAGGGCATACACAGGGATGTTGCCGTAGTGGTCGGGGGCGTCCTCGACCATCATCACTTCATCGCCTCCGGCCTCGGTGTTGTCCAGCCGCCGCTTCTTGTCGCCACCGCCGGCTGGGCAATCCCGGGCCCAATGGCCTGTCTGTCCACATCGGAGACAAACCTGTTTCCCAACGCCAGCGGCCTTGCCTCGAAGGCCAGCTTTGGAGGATCCTTTCGGCACAGGCAGCTGCTTGCCGCCCTTCTTTCCAGGCCGCTTGCCGCCACCCTTCTTTCCTTTCGGCCGCCCTCCAGGTGAGGATGCCGGGGAGAAGGAAGGCTTGTCCACCAGAGCAACGACGGGGTAGAAGCCACGGGAGGTCCTCATACGGTTAAGGCGGTTCTTGGCGTCGGCGTACGCAGCAAAGATCTCGTCAAACTCCTCGACGTCAAAGGCCTCGTCCTCCTCCTCGTCGA